CATTTTCTTACATTATGTATTAACACATAATTTGTTAGAGTTAGGCCTCAAAACTCCTTTTATTATTATTTTTTTCAGTTCAAGGAAGCAGCACATTTAATACTAAAACATTCATGAATGCAAAGAACAAATGCACATTGCCATAAAGATAATGCAGAATTGTTCACAATTAAAAAGTCTGCTGAGGTCTCTGCAAGTTTTAAAGATTGAACACACATAGGCCTTAGAGCAATGTGTGCAACCATTTCTTAAATAACAGTTATATTTAATAACTTTCCTTTTGTCCCCAAGGAACACCCCAGTGTGCATACTGTGTTGAAACACATTAGGCAATATAACTATGTGTGTGTGTGTATTCATATATATATTATCCTTTTTGTATTATCTTCGGGTAGATGCCTGCCAATTTTGCTTTATTTATGCTACATGATATTGTTGTTGTTTATTCATTCAGTTGCTTCCGACTCTTTGTGACCTCATGGACCAGCCCACACCAGAGCTCCCTGTCAGCTGTCACCACCCCCAACTCCTTCAAGGTCAAGCCAGCCCCTTCAAGGATGCCATCCATCCATCTTGCCCTTGGTCAGCCCCTCTTCCTTTTTCCTTCAATTTTCCCCAGCATCATTGTCTTCTCCAAGCTTTGCTGTCTTCTCATGGTGTGGCCAAAGTACTTCAACTTTGTCTCTAGTATCCTTCCCTCCAATGAGCAGTTGGGCTTTATTTCCTGGGGGATGGACTGGTTGGATCTTCTCGCAGTCCAAGGCACTCTCAGAACTTTCCTCCAACACCACAGCTCAAAAGCATCTATCTTCCTTCGCTCAGCCTTCCCTAAGGTCCAGCTCTCACATCCATAGGTGACTACAGGGAATACCATTGCTTTGACTATGCAGATCTTTGTTGCCAGTGTGATGTCTCTTCTCTTCACTATTTTATCAAGATTGGACATTGCTCTTCTCCCAAGAAGTAAGTGTCTCCTGATTTCCTGGCCACAGTCTGCATCTGCTGTAATCTTTGCACCTAGAAATACAAAGTCTGTCACTGCCTCCATTTTCTCCCTCTATTTCCCAGTTGTCAATCATTCTTGTTGCCATAATCTTGATTTTTTTATGTTTAGCTGCAACCCAGCTTTTGCGCTTTCTTCTTTCACCTTGATTAGAAGGCTCCTCAGCTCCTCCTCGCTTTCGGCCATCAAAGTGGTGTCATCTGCTTATCTAAGTTGTTTCTTCCAGCTTTGCATTTGTCAAGCCCCACACATTGCATGATATGTTCTGCATACAAGTTGAATAGGTTGGGTGAGAGTATACAACCCTGCCATACGCCTTTCCCAATCTTGAACCAGTCTGTTGTTCCATGGTCAGTTCTTACTGTTGCTACTTGGTCCTTATACAGATTCCTCAGGAGAGATAAATTTGGTATGCCCATCCCACCAAGAACTTGCCACAATTTATTATGATCCACACAGTCAAAGGTTTTAGAATAGTCAATAAAATAGAAATAGATTTTTTCCCCTGAAATTTCCCCGCCTTTCTCCATTATCTAGTGGATATTGGCAATTTGGTCTCTAGTTCCTCTGCCTTTTCTAAACCCAGCTTGTCCATCTGGCAACTCTCTCTCCACGTATTGCTGGAGTCTTCCTTGCAGGATTTTGAGCATTACCTTACCGGCATGTGAAATAAGTGCCACTGTACAAAAGTTTGAGCATTCTTTGGCATTTCCCTTTTTTGGTATGGGGATATAAGGTGACCTGGGAGTCCCATCTTCCGATGGCATACCGACATATCTCTGGTTGTACTGATCCATTTAGTTTTCTTGGGGTGGGTTGCCATTACCTTCCCCAGGGATTGCATTTGGTCTGACCTTTTTGCCATGACTGTCCCGTCTTGGGTGTCCCTTCACGGTTTCGCTTGTGGTATTATTGAGGTGCTCAAGCTCCACCGCTGTGACAAGGCAGTGATCCTTTACTGGGGGCTAAATGATATAGAATATGTAAATCCTCATCCATCTAGATAGCTTCAACTTACCAACTTAGAGCCCTTTTACACAGTCCTATATCCCAGAATATCAAGGCAGAAAATCCCACATTATCTGGGTGTGGAGTCAGATAACCCAGTTCAAAGCAGATATTGTGGGATTTTCAGCCTTGATATTCTGGGATACAGGGCTGTGTGGAAGGGCCCTCAATTATCCATCCCTAGTTGTCCATCACTGAAGGGTGGAAGAGGAAACCAGAACTTTGAACTTCTTTATCTGTTTTATAGGAATGCCACCGCCTCCTAAAATTCAAGAAGATGGATTATAGGAAGGCAGAATCACTTCTTAGATTTTTGTTTTGTTTTGTTTCTTTTGCTATGTTTAACAACAAGATGACCACAAATTCAGAAAGGACAAATATAGAAGTAATTGGAGGTTTCAACTAGTCTGGTATTTTTTAGAAGACAAACTCCTCCAAATCCTGCAAATTCCTTACTTGACTTGCAGACAATGTCATAGTCCAGAATGTGGAAGAGACCACAAGGGGATCCATTATTTTAGATGGGATCTTAACCAACAGTGATTACCTGGTTACTGGTGTGGAAATTGCAGGTTTGTTAGGGGGGTGGCGCAGTGGATTAAACTGCTGAGCTACTGAACCTGCTGACTGAAAGGTTGACGGTTCGAAACTGGGGACATTTACGTTTACTGGACATTTACAAGGAAGCAGAGTAAAACAGTTGTGTGGTTTACAGAGATCACAAAGGAGTACGACTTCTATTATGTCCTATGGCAGTGGTTCTCAACTTGTAGATCCCCAAGTGTTTTGGCCTACAACTCCCAGAAATCCCAGTTTACCAGCTGTTAGGATTTCTGAGAGTTGAAGGCCAAAACATCTGGGGACCCACAGGTTGAGAACCACTGTTCTATGCCATTTATAAAGATGTTGAACAACACTGGGGCTCAGGACAAAACCCTGAGGGATTTCCCTAATCACTTCTCACAGAATGAATTGCAACCATTGGTGTCTGCTTTCTGAGTTTAATTGGTCACCTCTTACAAATTGAATAGTAGCACAGCTTAGCCTGCACCAGGTTGCCTGCAAGAATGTGTGAAGAACCTTGTCAAAGGTCTTACAGAAATCAATTAATTCAGGTTAATCCTGTTATGAATCGTAATGTAAATAGCCGATATGCAGGATGTATTTTCATTCACTGGACCAAATTTGGCACAAATACCTGATACCCCCTGTGGGGGGTTGGTTTGTTATTTGGGAGTTGTAGTTGCTGGGATTTATAGTTAACTTACAATCAAAGACCATTCTGAACTCCACCAACGATGGAATTGAACCAAACTTGGCATAGAGAACTCCCACGACCACAGAAAGGGTTTGGTGGCCATTGACTTTGAGAGTTGTAGTTCACCGACATCCAGAGAGCACTGTGGACTCAAACAATAATGGATTTGGACCAAACTTGGCATGAATACGCAATATGCCCAAATGTGAACACTGGTGGAGTTTGGAGAAAATAGACCTTGACATTTGGGAGTTGTAGTTGCTGGGATTTATAATTCACCTACAATCAAATAGCAAAGATAAAACTGGCCAAACTTCCCACACAAAACCCCCATGAGCAACAGAAAATGCTGTATTTTCTGATGGTCTTTGGCGACCCCTCTGACACCCTGTTGTGACCCCCTCAGGGTTGAGAAACGCTGTTTTAGTAAGTAGCATTTACAAAGTACTTTGACTGTTTTGTGTTTTTCCTTGTATTCTGCACATGATCCAGAGCTTCTCTTAAAACTTTGAAGTGTTTTGCGGGAGCAGTGCCTGGTGTTTTTCTGAATGCACCTTCTTCCCCTATTTCCCTGGCTTTAACTTGGCAAGATTTCAGAATGATGCCATCTTGTGGCTGCTTCGGGCCTTTCCACAAATCTAGTAGCAACAACAAGAGAAGTGTGACCAGGGGACTCTCCAGCAGAAAGGCTTCATAAAAGGGGGGAAACTGCCTGCCTTGTTTAGCAAGCCTTGTAAATGCTGATTTTGTTTGATGGCTATAGTCATCTCCCAAGAATTTACCTAGTTATCAAGCAACACAAATTTTGTTTCTTAAAATGTAATTTTTGCCTTGGGATTTCTGAAATGCCCCTAAAACAGACTTTTGCCATTTTGTATTACGCGCTAGTTCTTCACATAAGCCCAAATAAGGTACTAAGCTGAGCAAATCTGTCATCCTCATAGAAACATGGTCACAATGGCCGAAGTTGGGCAGCTTCATCCAGACATTTCAGTTGGCTTTTACCCGTCTTCACACTTGCTTCCTAATAAGCTATTAAGACAAAGTGAAACTGCAGTTGCTGTTCAGAGGCATTGCAATTGCTTGTTTTTCTTTCACTGGAAATTCTCATGATATTGGACAAGCAATATTAAGTTATTGTATACTGGCCCAATGTTAAGAAGAGGAGACAGTGAGTCCTCTGCTCCCTCCAACAACAGTTCTGTCAATCTTCTAACATGAAAAATGACATGCCTGGAAAGGTTGGTTTCCCTTTCACACAATGTCTTCATGTAGTCAGAATTAAACCATCAAGATCATTACTTTTATGGAGAGAATTTATGTGTATAGGAGACACACTCTATGTGACTGCGACATAACAGAAAAAGAAAAACCAAGAAGCAACCTATTGTCTTCTTCTCTTGGCTTCCAGAATGAATTATAACAATGATGCTTTAACACATCGTAACTACTGAAACATGCATATGTACATACATATACAGAAAAGTAGCTTCGCTTAAAAAACAAACTAACAAGCAAATCTGAATTTTAAAAATGTAAGATGTATTGTATTGTCGAAGGCTTTCACAACCTTCGCAACCTTTGAGGATGCTTGCCACAGATGCAGGCAAAATATCAGGAGAGAATGCTTCTAGAACATGGCTATATAGCCCGAAAAACCTACAACAAGCCAGTAAGACGTATTGCTTAAGAATTTAAACATTAGTCTTTGTGGTATTATCCAACAAGATATTTGTGCTATTCTGTTTAATATTTGTTGAATTTACAGTTTTGTTCACATTTAAACCCAATACACAAACACTTCTATCTACATAAGGCAGTCAGTACAGCCTTAATTCACAAAAAACGTTGCATTTTCTGAGCACAACTTCTCAACTGATTGTTTTACTCACACAGAATGTAAATCCGTTGCACAATAACCCCATTCAATAACATATAGTGTAAGGAGTTAAGATATTTCAAAGAGAAGCAGCACCTTTTTACATCATATATAACATTTCTACACACATCATTATTACTTTTTTTTAAACAGGAGGGCATTACAAAATTGGGATTTCAGTGCTGAAAGCTACTCAAATCTCATGGCTTCAGAATGACCCACGGCCAGCCTTTGACACTTCTGCTGTCCAACGCTGTGATGAGCCAAAAGATTAAAGCTGTTGATCCAGTAGGACGAACTCCCTTGCAGCATTGTGTATCTATCCACTTATATAATACATTCTCTACAGGACTAGAACTTAGGAAAAAGTGCTCAAAGGCAAAATGGCTTGTAAAAGAAAGGACTACAGAAGAATGAACAAAGAAATAAACTATTTTCCTACTACAGTGAGGGAAACATGAATTTGCATTGTTAATTAATTTCACTGTGAATGAAGAGAAAGGCTAATGGAACTAGAAGTGAAGTATTATTTTCAACTGTCAGTATGCTTTATCATGTGCCATCATCTTTTATGTAATCAGAAGCTCTGTCATGCTAAACATCTGAATATCAATAACTCCCTCACATCATATAGAATACTTTTGATTCTAGATAACCTGAAAGAGACCTGATTCGATAGGAGCTCACAGAAAGAAACCTAAGCATCACGCCTTTGCCTACATTTAGCTGTTTCACCCCAGAAACATGGCTAAAAGGGGGGAAATACACTTTTGAACTGAGAAAGTTCCTGCAAATATACACAGATAATCTAATAAAACTATTTTGAAAGACAATATAAACTTAAATAAACTGAACAACAATGTTACATTTAATAAAACTTCTTACAAATTCAATTTTAAAAAATAAAGTCAGCATCACAGTAGTAAAACACATCATTTTTAAAATCTGTGGTAAAAAAATTTTAAGCTTAATACTGTACAATTAATTACAGAAAAGCATTGTGGCCCGTCATTAAAACTTACAATTGAAAATTAGTAGTGTACCCCATAATTATTTTTAAAGATTTTTTTAACACAAAATAATATAATTCCATAACTAATTATCCCTAACTGATCTATCATCTACAGCATCCTAGGGGGCCGGCTGATGTTTCTAGGCTGCTGTCTATCTCGGAGATCAGTGTTGGGTCAGTGGACATGGAAGCCGTGTCATTGGCAGACGATGACGAGGACTGAGGTTGAGAGCTATTGATCATTGCTGCACCTGTGCTATGAGAAACAAAATATCAATTCAGTTACATAGTGATTGGCTACCGTCACTGTATTCATGGTTTATTTTCCCATTAATGCTCCATCCTCCCAGTAAAATTAAGCTTGGCTCTTATGATGAGCTGCTTGAAGGAACAATCCTAAAACCTGCAATAATCCTAGAGATGGCTTACAGATTGAAGGAAAAACTCAAAGTTACAGATATAAAAACTCAAATTCATTTAGGATTCCAAAATTGTCTATTTCATCTCAGATTGCAGCTCCTACATATAACAGTATGAGTAAAACCTTGGATTAACAAACTTTCAGTCTCTTCTATTATTTTTCTATTTCTGGAAGAGTGTGAGCAGAAATCCCCTATCTGTTGCTCTCCTTGTAAAATAGAAACCTCTAACTTTTAAGCTCTTCTGACTTTCAAAAATTGAACATGGCTATTCATACAGTAAACTCTCTATGTAGATATCCATGTGATCATCTGGTTGTGGAGGAAGATCTTAATGTTACGTATATACTCTCAAATTACATGAGCGAGAGTATGTATGAACCCACATAAATGAAGAACATTAAGTGGCATCAATGCTCATGTTCTCATATTTTAACCCACCTCAAGTAACAAGGAGAGGTAGGTAAGAAATAATATCTATCTATAATGCCCTTCGAGTGATTGTCTGTGCACTCACAATATCCAGATCCTTCTAGCTACAAAAGTTTAAGCTCTGTCCTCCCACTTTTTAATAGGCATGTTTTAGTGGCTGTTTCTGCAGTTCTGCACAGTGGCTACCGTCAAAATTAGCAAGAAGTGCAAAAAAGGGCTGTGTAAATGCACAAATGACCACTCCAAGTTACAAGTAAATAACCTGTCCTTCATTATTTCTATCAGTTGTGCATTTGGTAACAATTAGAGGGAGCACATTTGAGGACGAGGGAAGTGGTGTTGAGGACAGAATTCAGTTATCTAGAATAGGATCATGGTGTTAAGCATGGGGATCAGGAATGATCCCCATGCTTAACACCTAGATTTTGGCATGCTGTTCATGCCAAAATCTGGGTGGAGATCTTCTTAGTGCATATGGAGCAAAGTTTAAGAGAAAAAAGAAAAAAGGTAGCACTAAAGTGAAAAGAATAAATTAGCTGAGATTCAACTACGGTCCTGCTGCTGAGGCAGACAAATAATAACTGGGAAAAAGGTCACTGAAATATTAATGAGGGAGGGTGGAGCTATCACCAAATCCGTACTAGCTAAAAAGCTCTATACAATGTGTCTAGACTGGTGTAAAAGCCCTTTCTTTGAGTCATAGATATGAAGAACAATTTGCACTTTTATTGCAACCAACCTAAAGGAGATGGCTGTCCACGTATAATTCCATTCTTGGTTTTCTCCTCCAGCTCCATAACTTCATTGTAAATCAGTTCTGAAAAACATCAGATACAGTGTTACCTGGTCAGGAAAAAAAACTAGGGAAAATGTCTCCTATGTGCAAACACACAGGCCAGTGGCCTGTGGGGTCCCTCGGTTCAATTTTGTTCCCCATACTAAGGATGAAGATAAACGTGAAAGTGAAAATCTCAGCTTTAGCAATCCTTTGCCAATTTCAGCACAGAAGGAGCAGGTGTCAGAAATGCTTGAATGTTTACTTGATGAATTATGTGCCAAAGATTGTTTACATGAAATTGCTGGGAGAGATCATCCAGAGTTTTGGAGTTTGGTGCCAAATTTTTGCCAACAACACCCAACTCTATTACTCCTTTCCACCGAAAGCCAAGAATGCCGCCCTGCCCCTAAACCATGCTATCATCATATAAATAATAATCAATTACATTAAAACAGTTCATTAAAACAGTTAGTCACGCCAGTTAAAACCAAATCCAAGTCTGGGGATTAAATCAATGTCATTCTACCTTTTTGCTGAGATCTATTACCAATTTAGCATCCTTACTGAGTAGCTGCCCAACTGTCTCTTTGGTATTTTTGTTGCTTCAAATATATCTGAAAACCTTCCTTTTCCGCTGCTTGCTTTGTCTAGGCAGTATCAGCTCAGTCTGAGTTTAAACTATTTCTGCTAATCTGTACTCTTCCTGAGTGATTCGTCCTTTTTATTCTTTATACATCCTTTTTAAAATTTTCATTTCCTCCTTGAGTTTACTACATAGCTACACTGGCTGTTTCAGACGTTTTCAGTCTTACAGATGCCACATGAACAGAGTCCAGTTTACAATACCTTAATATATAGCAATAATAAGCTTTATTTATACCCTAACCCCTCTTCCGGAGGGACTCGGGCAGCTTACAAAAGCCGATGCAATAAATGTACAAAAATAATCACATATCAAGTAATAAAAAACAAAATAGTAATTAAAAAACAATATATATAAATAACAGCTGTACCTTAATATATTAAAAAGCCTGCAGAAGGAGAGGGCAAAACAGAAATGATCAACCTTACCAGAGGGGACACTCAACCACATTGTACTCTTACCTTTCCATTCTTCTATTGTATGCTCTCTTTCATCTAACTGTTTGTCTGGTATCTTTGGAGGAGGCTGATAAAACAAACAGTTAAAATTCAATAAAGTTGACAGATATCACTATAAATATAAATTCACACTCTCAATGTAGTATACTGATGGGTGTGCCTCATTTCACCCTGTTTCTTGCATTAGATTCTAGTCAGGAAAATTCTGCAGTATTTTTCATCATCTAGAACCCTGGAGAGAGCTGGGAAACAGCATTTTGGTTTCTTAGCCCTGTGATGAGGGCTAAGACAGCTCCACTCCCTTGCTTACAAGGTCAAACAAAAATAATTTATATGGACATTCCCACAACAATAGGCATAAGTAGACTTGCACCTCTAAACTGTTCAAGGTTATTTGGATTGTCAGGAATTCAAGTTCAGTTTCTGTTATTAGATTATGTCATGACATTTAAGCACTTTCAAAACTAACTAGGTTTCTAAAATTTCTTTAAAAAATCATCGATTTTCAAATGCAGAGAGAATAGTTTCAGGGTGAAATACGATACAACAATTGTGGTTAGGTATTTCCTCAAACAAATTCTCAATAACATAACATTGAAAGTTGTGACCAAATACATGAAGAAAGATACTGGCAACCAAATTGACTGTTTGCTCCATGATGCATGTGATACATCTTCACTGAAGGTGCAAAAAATGTTCATACTATTAAGTTTAAAATATCCAAAGGTAAACTTATACGGCAACAAAATAACCAATTAAGACTTTTTTGAAAAAATCAAAAAATGAAATAATTATAAGATGACAATGCAAGTAAGATTATGTAGATAAAAGCAAAGAAAAAAATGTGTTGAATCAAAAGATGCCACTAAATCTGAGGGAAGGGAATATCCCCTAAGACCATGTTTTTCATAGTTACTTGCAATGTTTTGCAGCCCTATTCTCCAATTGCTGATGCTTTGACAGAACTTTTAACTCATTTTTTATTAATTCTTAAGTAGTCTAGGCTAATAAAAGAACACTTTACATGATCATGTTATGCAGCCAATCAGATTTAGATATGTGCTGAAATCACTAATTGCAAATGAAAGACAGAGATTACTCCAAGAATTGAACAATTAGCTTTAAGGAGCACCTCCCACAAATTAAGAAAACCAGAGAAAACCTTTGAATCTGATGAAACTTAGTAAGACATACTCTCTCCATATTTGGGCTCATCATTTGAAAAAGATTACTTTGACATAAAAAGATTACATTTTATTCCATGCTTCCTGGAACTCCAGCCCAATTAAATAGAATTAGCTTCTGGTTGCACAGCAAAATGGAGCATCCTTACTGGGCTACCCTCTGGAATTCTGCATCATGGTTTCTCTTATTCCGTGCACAAATTCAAAAACCCTAGAACATACCGCTTCTGCTTCTGAAGGGTCATACCAGACATTGATATAAGGGTGCTGAAGAGCTTCATCTACTGAGATTCTTTTTGAGGCATCGATCACCAGCATTTTGGATAACAAATCTCTCGCCTGACTGGCTGCAAAAGGAAAATTTAATAGAGCATGTCATGCCTAAAGATTCAAGCAGCAGAAAATGGAAATAGAATGATAAGCTTAGAAAGAAAGAGAAGAAAGAGAACACATTTGCATATAATTTATTTTGAGGTACAGTAATACCCTTTGTATCAATTACTGATTTGATTAACTAAGACAGAATCACAGAGTTGGAAGAGACCATCTAGTGGGCCATCTAGTCTAACTCCTTGCTCTGTAGGAAAAGGACAATCAAAACACCCCTGACAGATGGCCATCCAGTCTCTGTTTAAAAGCCTCCAAAGAAGGAGCTCCCACCGCACTCCGAGGCAGAGTTCCACTACTGAACTGCTCTTACAGTCAGGAGATTCTTCCTAATGTTCAGGTGGAATCTCCTTTTCTGTAATTAGAACCTGTTGCTCCAAGTCCTAGTCTTCAGGGCAGCAGAAAACAAGCCTGCTCCATCCTCCTTATGACACCCTTTCACATATTTATACATGGCTATCAGTAGCCCTATGAGGTGTCAACTGGCCTTGCTGAGAATCATAGAATCATAGAGTTGGAAGAGACCTCATGGGCCATCCAGTCCAACCCCCTGCCAAGAAGCAGGAATATTGCATTCAAAGCACCCCTGGCAGATGGCCATCCAGCCTCTGTTTAAAAGCTTCCAAAGAAGGAGCCTCCACCACACTCCAGAGCAGTGAGTTCCACTGAACGGCTCTCACAGTCAGGAAGTTCTTCCTCATGTTCAGATGGAATCTCCTTTCTTGTAGTTTGAAGCCATTGTTCTGCGTCCCAGTCTCCAGGGAAGCAGAAAACAAGGTTGCTCCCTCCTCCCTATGACTTCCTCTCACATATTTATACATAGCTATCATATCTCCTCACAGCCTTCTCTTCTTCAGGCTAAACATGCCCAGCTCCTTAAGCCACTCCTCATAGGGCTGGTTCTCCAAACCCTTGATCATTTTAGTCGCCATCCTCTGGACACATTCCAGCTTGTCAATATCTCTCTTGAATTGTGGTGCCCACAATTGGACACAACATTCCAGGTGTGGTCTAACCAAGGCATTACTTCCCTAGATCTAGACACTACGCTCCTATTGATGCAGGCCAAAATCCCACTGTACATTTGTTCTAACACTAGAACTTGGGGAGAAGATATGACCCCCTACACAAAATGGGAGCAAATTTGAAATAATAATAATCATCATCATCTTTATTTGTACTCCATCACCATCTCCCTGAAGCTAACATGAGGCCAAGCCCAAAGATACAATACAGCAAAATAAAATACATAATGCAGACAACAAAATGGCTCTGTGACTATCAGATTACAAAGACAGAGGCAAAATTAAACAAGTAGAGTTCTTCATCTACGCATATCAATAAGCTTAGAATTGGAGAGGAGAGAAGGAAATTCTTCCTGACTTTATATAATGTCAAAGCATAAGATAATGGCCAAGACCATGCCATGAGGATAAAGTACATTATTGGTAATTTTAGTTTTGCCACCAGACCAGACTAAATTTGTAGAATCTTCATAGAGAATACAGTACTAGAAATCAAAGTTAGAAAATAGACAATAGATTTGACTATTAAACTCAGAATGCCAGCAAGAAAAATGCTGTAACCTCATTAGAAGCTCTAATGGTTGCAACGTAATGCAAAAATGCCTCCTTAAATAAAAAGGTAGACCTCACCGCACCATCCCTGTGATGGTGTTGGGACTAAAAGGAAGCCTTCCCAGCATATCTTAAGAGCAGAATTTTCCAAACATGTCATGTTGATGACACCCTTTTTAGGCATGCATAATTTCATGATACGGTAATGCAGCTTTAATAGCAAACCGGAGGTTCAACCAACCCCTTATAAGAGATGTGGACATATACATAACTTGTAATAATAAAATGGATTGGGATACAATATATCTCATGAAAACCTTTCCATTATATACGATTTTTAAGATAACAAATATTTCCAAGATTGCATTTATCATTTATGAGTAACAATATGTAAATATGTGCAAAAAAATTTGGAAAAAATGTATAACACTCTCATGATTTCCTCTATAGTCATTCCAGTGCTGGGAAGAGGAGGCTTACGGAGTAGAGGGCAGGCTTTTGTGGCTGGGCAGGGCCTCCTCTGGCTGCCTGACCTAAAGCAACCAATGACATCTTAGAACTGGTGCTGCTCTGGTAAGCCAAGAAGGGCCCGGCCTGGAGAGCACATGGGTTTGCCCTCTCCCCATTTTGTCTCCCAACATTTGTTAGCAACACATCTAGATGCTGAAGGCAACACACCACAATGTTACTACACACCGTTTGGAAAGCTATGCTGTTAAGAACAACCCCTACTTGCAAGAGTGCATAATCTAATATGTTTCCATGGTAGCGTTTGTAAATTTATCACAAAAAATTAATGAAAGCTTACCCTTAAATTTGTTGTGTTCAGAGTCAACTGGAAAGAGGACATCTGGGAAAAGCTTCTCAAAACTATAGCCAGCATATTTAGGCCTGTTCTCCACATAGGTCCTTACTGTTGGTTGTAGTTTCTTCATGAATTCAGAACATGGGGTCCCTAGTTGCTCAATGACTTTATTCCACTGATCAATATCTGACATCAAGGAGTTAAGAAAAATGGCACATCTAGTATTCAAGGCAACGGTGATATTAAAAACACAATGAATTTAGCAGTTATGACCCAACAAGACCATATCAAAAGAGCAATGGTTAATAGTATTTAATAGTGCTTTGTTCTAGTTCGCTGTTACAGTTAAAACAGTTGTATCCTACCTCAAGCCACAAGGAGGGAAGCAATAAATAAATAAATAAATAAATAAATAAATAAAACTATGTAGCAAAATTTGAAAAAATGGTCTGTTCCTGGCTTGAAAGTGTTATTTCCCATTTACTTGTGTGTTTTGTTTTTATTGCTGCCACAAAATACGTTGGATTAGTTGAGAATCTACAAGATATTCATTGAAAAACTATAGCAAAATGTGCTGCAAGATGGAAACTCAGGGAACAAAGTTTTTGCAGTTTAATAAAACTTTTCCATGACAGAACCAATTAGGAAGTGATGTTTATAATCCAGGAGCAAAAACCATGTTACATAGTGTAATTATTACGTACAGAATCCAACAGCTTCTCTTTACCTATGGTGGTCTTTAATACCACATTACCTCAATCAGGACTGGGAAGAATCATGCCTGACACACAGATTATGTCTGGACTAGCTGCAATATGAATATCTTGTGCATTTTAAACCTTAGGCTAGACAGAGGCTTGCCAGAATAACCAATTTGTTATATGCATTCATCTATCAAGCATATCCAGAAATAGCGTTAAAGCCATTATCAAACTATAAGCATAACAGAATCATAGAGTTGGAAGGGGCCGTGTGGGCCCATCAAATCTGACATCTTGCACAATACTGAATTTCCAGCTACAGCATCCCTACACTCTACTAACCCTCTGAGCAGCTGGTTCCTTTGCTAAACCACTCTTACTGTCAAGAAGTTCTTTTTAATGCCCAATGAAAACACACTCCCCTGTAATATAAAACCATTTTACCATTTGGGACACCATAAAATAGGTCTTTGTCCTCCTCTCTATAGAAATTCTTGAAAAATATAAAGGGTACAATGATGATATGTTGTCCTCAATCTTATCTCCAATAAGCTGCTCACACCCAATTCTTCCAATCTTTCCTCATTTGTTCTTCCTCCCTCCTACCATTCTGGTTGCCTTCCTCTGAGCTCTATAGAATATTCAGTGCTATGGAATCATGGGAGTTGTAGTTTTACAAAGTCTGTAGTCTTCTCTGCCAAACAGTGCTGGTTCCTCACCAGGCTACAAATCCAATAATTCTTTAATTAAAGCCCGGCCGTTATAGTGGTGTATTAATTTTATGGTGAAGATGCACCCTGAATCTACTTCAATCTGTCTATATCTTTATTAAAAGGTGTGATCAGTGGAAAATAGCATCAAAAACAGTTTCTGAGAAAGAGACCAAACAGGAAAAGAAGAGTAGCATTCAGTCAAAAATTGCTATGCCTGTGCAGAGATCCATGATTTAAACCCAAGTCATGTTAAGAGAATCTGGGGGGAAATTAAGGGGGAAAGAAACAACAGGGATCTCATTGTGGGGATCACTACAAACCATACAGTCAAACTGAGAAACAGATGAACACAAATTAAGAAAGAAAAATGAGAGATGTTAACAATCCTGGTATTTGTTTGGGTTCAAATAAGGCTAAGAATATCAAGTCCAATAAATTCATTGTCCAGAATGTGGGAGAGGAAAAAGGGGTTCCAGCTGTTTTAGATCTAATGCTGACCAATACAATGACATAGTTTATGGTGGTGGCAGTGGCAGATTGCTTATGTAGGAGTGGTCACGTTCCCATGAAGTTTCATATACAGCACAAAAGGGAAGCCAAGCATAGTCAGACACACATTCTAGGCTTTAAGACAGGTAATTTCAGGAAACACATGAAAATATTGGGTGTGATCCCATGATCACAAAAACCAAAAGATAAAGGTGTTTAAGAAGATTTAAAAGAGATGTAAAGAGAGAAATCAAGCAAATAACAAGCATGTGTAGGGAACATGTCAGAAAAACTGAAGTGTAGAACAATTCTGATGGAACAGAATGAGATATAAATTAAAATGTTATATGAGATAAAACAAGATTAATTTAAATTAAAAAGGTGGAAAAGTGGTAGATACTGAATACAAGATGGAATTATAAGAATTTGAATTTCAGCTAAAATGGTTAAATTGTTTATATCCATATTGCTTGTGCATTAATTATTAATTTGAAATATATTTGTTTTTTTCTTTAGCAGAAGCTGAAATGCAATTAAGTAGAAACAAGAGGTATAACACAATAGTTGTATTTGCTTGAGGAGAAGGAAAGTCAGTGGTGTTTATTGTTTTAATGTCTCTTTTTTTAGAAAAGAGGAGATATTATTTGTGTTTTAGATGGCAGAGGTAGGGAGTGGGAATGGGGTTGGAATGGTTCCTCTTCCTCCTGGAATTAATTGATCAGGTGGGTATCTTTATCAATCTCATAGACAACAATAGAAGTTACGTTTATCAAATTGGTAGTTGACATCAAATTAGATGGCTAATATCCCAGAAAACAGAATCAGAATACAAAATGACCACAATAGATAAGACAGCTGTGCCAAAACTAACAAAACAAACTTCAAAAGGGAGAAATGTACATACTACACTTAGGCAGAACAACTGAAATGCACAAATACAGAATAGGGGACACTTGGCTTGCCAACAGTACATGTAAAAGTGATATAGGAGTCTTGGTAGAGCATAACTGAACATGAGTTAACAGTGTGATGCAGCAGTTAGAAAGGCCAATGCCAGGCATGTAGCCGGGGAGGGGGGGGGGCTTGAGGGGCTTCAGCCCCCCGAAATTCTCATGGTGGTTCGCGAAAAGGCCTTACTGGTGCATTATTTAAACTGTTATGTTTATTCATATCATGATCTGATCACCATACTCAATATATCCCATATGCATGGGGGTATTGGGGTAATAATACAAAAGGTTTGCTAGGGTAGACCCTCTTTCACTCAGACTCAGCCCCCCCCCCCCGAAACAAACTCAGCCCCCCACCCCGAATCGAAATCCTGGCTACGGGCCTGGCCAATGCAATTCTAGGCTGCATCAATAGTAATGTCTAGATCAAGGGAAGTCATAGCCCCACTCTATTCTGCTTTGCTCACACCTCACCTGGAATAAGAGTGTCCAGTTCTGGGCACCACAATCCAAGGGGCATATTGACAGGCTGGAACATGTCCAGAGATGGGCGACCAAAATGTTAAAAGTCCTGGAAGCCAAACTCTACCTAGCTTAGGGAGCTGGGCATTTTTAACTTGGAGAAGAGACGGCTGAGAGTGGACATAATAACCTTGTTTACATTTAAATATTTGAGAGGCTGCCATACTGAAGGAGCAAGCTTGTTTTCTGCTGATCGTATTCCTGTGCATTTTGGCCATTCTGCCCAGAATGCAGAATTTTGCATTCAACTTCGTTTTTTTCAATTTCAGCCCATTTATAGTTTTTCAAAGTCCTTTTGAATTATGTTCCTGTTTTCTAATTTTATTCATTATTCATTTTATTTGTATGCTTCCTTTCTCCTAGACTGGCACCAAAGGTGGCTTCACAATAAGAATTTGAAACAAGTAAAATCACATACAACTACAGTATAAAAGCATTGTTAAAACAACACACATTTTAAAAGAATAAACCATTCTCATATAAAGCTCTCCTCCTTAAAAGCTTTCTTGAATAGGAAAAGAAAGATTGGGAGGGAGGGAAGCCTAGCCTCTCAAGGAAGGCAGCGGTTGGGAGCAGCCATCAAGAAGCCTCTCATGTCCTCACCTAGCGAGTTTGTGATGGTGGTGAGACTGAAAGTCTTCTCCTAAATGTTTTCATCTATTCCACATTTAAGCAGCCATTTAATCAAAAGATTAAGCAGGATCTCATCAAATGTTTTGTTGAAATCCACAGAAATGACCACCATCTACTAAAGGAGTAACTTAAACGAACAAAAGATGTAAGATTTATTTTGCAGGATATGTTCTTAACAAGCCAATTTTAGCTCCCACTGATCACTATATTGAGTTCAAGATACTTGCAAACAATCCAATTTATAATCCGTTCTAATATTTTTCCTGGTATTAAGGTCAAGTTGATTTGTCTGTAGTTTTTCAAGATTTTTTGCCATCTTTGAAGGAAGGAACAATATCCGCCCTTCTCCAGCCCACTGCCATCTAACCTGTGCTCAAGGGTTTCTGAAAAACGATGACAAGTGGTTCAGACAGCAGTCTCTTCAGTAATGCAGTTTTTCTAACCCTGCAGATTTGAACGCATTAAGATTAATTAAGTGATTCTTCTCCATCTTGATTTACAATTCAGATCCCTAGCCAAGGTTTCAATTTATGCATGGAAGCATTCTACTTTTTGTTGCAATTTGTTCATTTTTTATCATCTTTGCTGAGAACATGGAAGCAATTCTGTTTCCATCATCATCAGGAGATTAAAAACAATGCTCATTTAACACTAAGTTTGGTAATGAAAAGTTAATACTAATTATTAATTTTAAGAAATGACATGGAGGGTTTTCCCCTCTTTAATCCAAGTGCACTGAAATCTGTTCAAACATGGACCTTCGCAAAATTTCAAAATACAAATGTATATTGTACTAGATTCCAACTCTTTCAGAAACAGCCTTCAAAAACCAAGCCCCCATCAAAAACCAAGTCCATGGTATTCACAATACTCCAGCATGGCATTTCAGATAAGCTTTCTTGTCTGTGCAGTTTCCCAAATTGTACAAAGAAATCAGAAATACTATGGCATGGATGTTCCTAACTTTCATGATGTATCTTTTATATATAAGAATCTCAAAGCTGTCTTTTCAAGTGTTAACCTTCTAATTCTTGAGGCTTTTTTACCATTTTTTACACCACACTCTCTATTTACGTATGATATGTTATGTCCATAAAAATTAAAAAATACATATTTGTTTCATCCCTTGTTAATATGAACATTTTATTCTTCTAGTCTAGCTAGACAGTGGTATCTTGTCCAGGAATTACAGTTATGTATTTGATCAATTACATTTTTTTGAGTATCTATAATTTCATGATTTACAAAGTAAAAGATTTTGCTGCAATCTAACCCCACCCAGTCTCCCTCTCAATATAAAAGGGCAGATGCTGCTAAATCCTCAGTTCCAGTGGGATCTGAATGATGTAAAAGGCTGAGCTGATGAAAAACTGAAACATTCTGCAGTTGTGAGCATCTTATGAATGTGTTCCAATTTGGAATCAGTCTTTGGAACATTATCAAAGGGAAGGTTTTCAATTGCAGGCCTTGCAGATGTAGAGACTCCTGATAACTTTAGCTACAGACACCATATAGCTACTGAGTTTGATAACAATCTGCAGTATGAATTTGAGAGCCACGATCACATGCTTATCATCTTCATCCAGTTGCTCTAAATATGGAGCCACTATTTCCCATAGACATTTCTGCTACTCCCCCTTACATTGTGTGTAATTGCAGATATTTTGGCTAGCGGGGAGGCAGAGCAGTATACCTTATGCCTCATCATGTCAAGTTTCCTGCCTTCCTTGTCCATAGGGGCTGAGGGAACCTTTTGAAAGGTTCAGGACTGAGCCACATCTACTATATTCTAATTTGGCTTTGGGTGTCTGAGTAGCCAGTCAAGAGAAGAGTCCTGAATCCTATTTAGATTTTCTATTTTCCCCTGGCTAGTGTGGAATCAAAGAAGTGATGGTTCATGAGAATTAGTGAACCTCAGAGGATAAGGGAAAATGTGAAATATTATAGGAGATTGTACTTATTTATTTATTTCATTGAATATAGAGTCAGTTGGATTCATCCCAGTGAAGAGGCCATCCATAATGTCTGATGTGTGAAGAATCGGACATCATTCTGTATTATTATTTTATTATTATTATTATTATTATTTTAATGTGGATGTCAATTTGTTTTGGGTGGTTTTGGTTATTTTATTCTTCGTCCAGCACCTTACAGCACTGAATGTCACTGATTAGTTGTAAACCACCCTGAGTCCCTATGGGGAAATAAGGTGGGATATAAACAAAGTTGATTATTATTATCATCATCATCATCATCATCATCATCATCATCATGATGTGTGAAGGAGGGAGGGTATGAGTTGGTTATCAGAGGGTTAGGAGATGGGCCTAGACAGCAAGATGAGGAAGACATGGGGAAATCATCAAGTTAATGTAACTAAGCCCATGGGATCGATGATTACTGCTAGATGTTGTGTGTGCGGGCAGGACAGGGCAGGAAAAAGTACTGGTCGTAGAAGTCCGTCAGCCATTGAGACCTGTCCGTTGGGAGTTAATTTGGGCACAGTAGATTCTTGTGGTGGGGAGTGAAGATGGTGGCTCACACAATTTATTTAGTAGCTATCTGTAATGGAATAATCACAGTCCTTGTAATGGTCCTCACAATGTTGATGTTGGGCCTGACTATAAGGATCACATGGCGAGTAGTCTTGACAATAGTATTTCCTGCACCTTGACCTACAGAATCTAAATTCCCATCAGGTCAAAGATGCAGACTGAAATTGGTGTTGGCTGTGTGGGTCCCTTGAGAGCAAATGAGTAGGGAATCCAGATGGTAGACAAGATCAAGATTCTTAATGAACTGAGATGGGATAATCTCTGAGGCTCTATCTAAAGTATGTGAGTACAAAATCAAACTTAAAGTTCATAACCAAAAATGCAAAGAAAAGAGAGCTGGGTACGAGCCAAAGGTTTCTTCGTTGCCATTGATATAGCAGACAAAGAGAAACTGGGGATTTCACAGCAATTGTCCTTTTATACCAGGAGGGAGAATGTGTGAGATTACTGCAAAAATCTCTCTCTAAAGTTCTAATAGGTTCCAAAGGTACACTGTGCAAGTACAGAATAGCCCATTTGTGAGTCACAGAGACCATCAAGAAAAACTCTAGTGTCTCTTTCTGTTCTAAACCCAGTTTAAATGTCTAGCATTTATCACTCTATATAAATAAAGGCATTTCTTATACAATCTTGAGCATCACTTTTGTTTGCATGGAGGATTAATGCATTCTTCTGATGCCTTGCCTTTTCCTGTTAATGGAATATATGCTGTTTACAAATAGCAGATTTGTCTTTTTTTTTCAAACTTCCAATAATCCATCTAGTCAAGATATGAGGTGGAAATCCAAACTAAAATGAAAGCATTAATTCTTATGAAAAAGTACATCCCAGCTACACAGCTGCATGCTATGAATGCTCTGGTTGGATTTCCTGAATTGAACGATAGGTTGGACTCAATGGCCTATTGATCCCCTTCCAATCATAAATGAACTGGGAAACATGTAAGGAAAAAAGAGAACGTATTGTCGAAGGCTTTCATGGTCGGAATCACTGGGTTGTTGTAGGTTTTTCCGGGCTATATGGCCATGTTCTGGAGGCAATTTTTCGCAAGCATCCTCAGAGGTAGTGACCTCACTACCTCTGAGGATGCTTGCCACAGATGCAGGCGAAACGTCAGGAGAAAAATTGCCTCCAGAACATGGCCATATCGCCCGGAAAAACCTACAACAACCCAGAAAAAGAGAACCTTAAATGCCGATTGCCCCAGGAATCGCAGTGCAGAAAGTTACAAGGTTGTGAGTTACAGAGCAGTATTTATGTCACATAACACCACAGAGTCACTCCTTTTATCCCTTTTTTTTTGTAAGATCAGACATTTTTTTGCTCTGACTTGCAAGTATGTGTTGAATGCTGTACATTAAAGCTGATTACCAGCCTGCAGCAATGACATTTAGAAATGAAAACTGGAGAACTAACGAAATAAACATTACAGTTTTAAAATGATTGCTGATCATTATACAACAGAAAAACTAACATCCATTATTTGAAAAGGAGTAATCATTGCATCGAGAATATCTATTTCATAGCACTCTCTAGCTTGTATCCAAAGCAGATGCTTCTACTGAACTGTAAATTGGAGCTCATTCCCAAGGAAGAATAGGCGAGGGAGTGTGATACACTTAATATGACGAGAAGATTAAAAGATAATTGATAACGTTCAGCAAATATTTGAATGGCTCTCAAATAGAAGACAGAGCTATGTCAGAGGAAAGGACCTAAAGCAATGTACCGTATATACTAAAGTATAAGCCGAGTTTTTCAGCCCTTTTTTAGGCTGAAAAAGCCCCCTTCGGTTTATACTCGAGTCTAAGTTATTTATCATTTTACTCTGTTATTATTATTATTACATTTATTATTTTACTCTATTATTATTATTATTATTATTACATTTACATTATTTTATTGCATTTATTTTACTCTATTATTATTACATTTATTATTTTACTCTATTTTATTGAAAGGATATGTAAGCACATTTACATTGAAGAAGGTTAGAATAATGATTTAGTCAGAGTTGGACAGTCTTATCTTAAATTGCAGTTTTATGTAAATCTTCAAAAACATTTACCCTACTAATGCCTCAATTAATGTAGCTGCTGCATTTCCCACCCTTAGCTTATACTCGAGTCAGTTAAGTTTTCCCAGTTTTTTGTGATAAAATTAGGTGCCTTGGCTTATATTTGGATTGGCTTGAGTATATACGGTATTCAAATTACAAGAAAAGAGGTTTTGATGAAATGTAAGGAAGAACTTCCTGATGATAAAAGCTGTTCAATAATACAACGAACTATTCCAGAAAATGGTGAACTCTTATTCACTGGAATTGTTTAAATAGATTTTGAATGTCCACCTCGGAAATGCTTTATCTGTGGATTCCTGCACTGGCAGGGGGTTAGTGTAAATTGTCCTTGGGATCCCTTCCTACTCTTTAATTCTACAAAATAAAAACAAAACCAATGAAAGCAGAATAACAGGATTTTAGAGAACTAGTAAGTTATGAAATTCATGAAATTCAATTACACCTGAATGCTGCACTTGAGAACAATAGAAAGAGGTGCATGCAAAACCAATTATGGTAGGAAAAAAACCAAAATGCAAGATGTATTATAGCAAATGGATTTTACTAATTGCTTTTCAGATTGGGGCTTCCAACACTTTCTGCTCAATCCCAAAGTACATAGAAACATAATCACACAGGATTCTACTGTCTGCTTTATCTCTTAATCTCATAAATATCTTTTTTCCTATTTTGGAGTGCATTGAAGCTATTTATTTACAAAGCAAACTGACCCATTGAAGCATCTTTGATGTTATTAATTGTGAAAGAAACAAACAGTAAAATGTAACATAAAAAGTATAATTGAATTAATCTAATTAACATAAAAACTCGGTAGTTGAAGATAACATGCTTTGAATATGCCAGAGTACATTTCACTTTTAAGGTTACAGTCCCACAGTAAGGATACGGTCTGTACCAGGAAATAATACACCACCTTTGATCATTTCTCCCATGATGCACCCCACTGACCAAATATCAACTGAAAATAAAATGCAATGACATTAACTGATTGAAAGAAAAACAAATAAGGACGTTAAAAGAGGACGGAAAAATAGTAACACCTGATGATAAAGAACTGTGCAGGTTGAGAATGAATGAGAGTCAAGATGTGCCTGTTACAACAGAACAAATCATTTTCTACTGCTAGATGTAGCCTCAACAATTTTTATAATTATCAGAAAAAGAAAGTTTAGCCCTTAAAGGAAAACTAGACCAGGAAGTACTTTTAAGAAAGAGTATATGACATAGGGGAAAAACAGATCAATAATGACACTTTATTTGTTTATTTATAAATATATAAATAATCAAATAAATAAACAGATCAATCATGATACATTAGTCACCAAAATTCAGCATACTGTAACAGCACAAGGATACAGTCCCTTCCTGGAAAGAGGATTTTGTGGCAAACCATTTCTCCCATAATGCACCCAACAGACCATATATCCACTATTTTTGAAGCACAAAAAAGGAAGCAAGACAATCAGTCACTGAAAATTAAGAGAAGCAGCAGGACATGAGTGCATCTTATGAAAAGCACAAACAAAAGAAATAAGCAATCATGGGATCAAGCTGTGGATGCATTTTTAGAACAGATACGTGCCTCTGCTTGCCAAGAACACGTTATGGACAAAAACCCAATGGAAGCAATTAAGTGTCACAAGATAAAAGGTTGCTTACCTGTCATCTAGGGTTATCTGTACCCTCAAACAAATGGTTTTGTGCCCGCACAAAAACCATGATTGGAATGTTCTAGAACTGAGTAGCTTGGCAGGAATCTTGCCCTCTCCTTTCATCTACAACTGTACAGGCCCTAGACTTCCAATACTACTCTCCCTTCAGCTGCAAAGCATGCCAAGGAGAAAATGAATGGGGACCTGAATCAAGAGGGGAAATAAGGCAGGTGGGGTGAGGACACAGATGACCACTTAAGGAACCACAGTAACAGGTAAGCAACCTGTTCTCTTTTGTGGTCTCTATACCTCACAAAACTGGGTGAATATTACTCTTAGAGGTGGGGAAGGTCACTGGAAAAAATATGATAAAATGGCACAGTTGAACAAGCACTAGCTTTAATCCTGGAATCTAAGTGGTGATGCTTAATAAAGGTATCAGTGAGCTGCTTTGCCAAGGTCTGGTATGGAAACACAAGGCAAAAAAGCAGAAAAGAGGCTATAGCTATAGCAGAAAATCCTTTGATACTCTCCGGAAAAGGTTTATTTACAAGTATATATATTAATTTTATGGTCTTTATTACCCATCTAGAAAGATGCTGAGTAGAAACATCTTTCTTGGGACCAGAGTGGTAGGCGATTAACTTGTGAAAATGGGAGAAACATAGAAAGCAAAGGCTCTACAAACATCCAAAGAATGAAAAGCAGTCTCTAAAACAGAAGACAGATTCTGGGCAGATGGGCATAACAATGTGCTGGTTGACATGGAAATGGAAAACAAAAAAAGTGATGTTAGGTCATAATATGACCATGTCTTTGTGAAAGCCGAAGACGGATCCATCACTCCAAAGCAAAGTTCACTTGTCCTTCTTGCTGAAGTGATGGTGACCAAAAGATGACTTTCAGTATTAGCAAACAGTCATCAACAGGGGCTAAAAGTTCAAGTGGCTTTGACAGCTGTTGGAAAAAAACCCAAACTTGGTGAGAGGGGTGTTACAGGAGGCAGATGGAAGGATATATGTGAGCTAAAACCTTGAGGTAGCTTTTCACTGTTGGGTTACTAAATAACATACAGTACAGTAAAGAGGCAAAGTCATGGGGCATCCTTTTATGACTTGCACCATCCACAACAATCACATTCTACTAATGCCATAGAGGTCCATAGACTGTGGGTCTCTTAGAGGGTGGAACAGTCAAAGAACTGGAGGATCATAGGCCTTATATGGAAAACTGGCTGAGATGTTATTATCAAAAAGTCAAAACTAGGTTGTTGTAGGTTTTTTTGGGCTATATGGCCATGTTCTAGAGGCATTCTCTCCTGACGTTTCACCTGCATCTATGGCAAACATCCTCAGAGGTAGTGATAGTTCGATGAAGGAGCCTGAGGCAATCTTGGAGGCTGTGTCAGGGCCCATCCAGTATGTGGCCCTGTGGCCCCTTCTACACTGCCATATAAAATCCAGATTATCTGCTTTGAATTGGATTGTATAGCAATGTAGACTCAAACAATCCAGTACAAAGCAGATAATCTGGATTATCTGCTTTGATAATCTGGATTATCTGCTTTGATAATCTGAATTATATAGCAGTGTAAAGGGGGCCTAAGAGGCAACTACTGACATTATGGTGCCTGTGTGACTGGCGATGACAGCAGCAAGGTATCAGGTGGAAGTTGGTGACCACAATCGCCATGAGCTCAACAGGGAACCGGAGTATTGATGGTGATGATGTTCTCTCGCCCAATGCTTAGATCTTGACCATGAGATCAAATGAATGTCACAGAACTGAAAAGCCAATTGGTGTTGACACAACTTGAGAAGGAGAAGCTCCAAGCATGCTTCTGACAAGTTTCTTATCATCGTCAGTTGAGAAGTTATAGCAGTGTTCCAAAGTTCTCCTTAGGAATTATCAACTATTCCCAATTCTTTGTGTCTGGCCAGAGAAGTAGTGGTTGTTTGGGTGTTCAATGGGAGCGAAAAAACAGAAGGGTGTGGGAATCCCACCTTCATCATGATAGCAGAGTGATCTTCCGATATTGGTTTTTTACTTGTGGCACTTCTCTTTCTTCCCTTCATTTCATAAGCATGGCTTTAGCAAATGAGCCTCTTGGAGTTTTTGCCCGAACATGCCAGTCCTCTTCTTGCATCGACATTATGACTGCCACTTTCATTAAGTAAATGGAAGGGGGAGCAGTCAGTATCAGCTCAGGTGCAAGAGCCAAAGACACAGAAGGAGTCTGTATTGAGGAGCTCGGCAGAACAAGAGGTACAGAAGACAATTCTGAGCCAGGAAGTTTCAAACTTTAGGCCTGTTTGGATGATGATTTAGATAATACCGAGGGTGAGGATGGCAACAAGATATTTGATAAAACAGCGATTTCAGTCAAGCCACCCGATTTTTCCTTGCCTGAGGTGAAAGTCTGGCAGTAGGAACAGGACTGCACCACATGGTCTTCTCCGTAACATTGTAAGCATTTACTATGCCCATAAGTGTTGGGCATTTTTCCCTTTGAAACGTTCACAGTGCTTAAATCGGTTGAACAAGACAAGGGTTCCTGAAGTTAGTGGCTCAACAGAAGAAATCATCAAAACCTGTCCTAAATACTGTAGAGTGGTTGGAACCAGAGTCTGAGTCAAGCCACAGTTGTATGGAAAAGAGAAAGCGAAATAGGAAAAAGCACAAGGTTCCAAATGTGGCAGTTGTAGCAGATGAAAAGGAACTAAAGGATTTATACCCCTGGGAGGATGGAGGAGGCGTTACCACCAAAAATATTTTCCTGCAGGTTCTGAGAAGGCTCTGCACTGGAGCAGTAAACCCATTTGTGTGATGCACAGCAGTCATGAAGAAGAAATAGCTACTCTCCCATAATGGGAACTCCAGTGGTGCTATAACTTTTGCTATGCATCTGAAAGGGGTTTTTTTCCTTTTTTAAATTTCTTGGATATGCTTTTTGAGCCACATCTGATCTAAGATTCCTCTGGTGTCCTTTTTTAACTATGAAGGAAAGGGAATAATTGGTGGAGTATTGGAGCTTCAACAAAATGTCTTAAGAGAATCTACACGAGGAAGAAATCTGAATATTCTTAGCTCAGTGGAAGTTTTCCTATTTTACCTTTTTCAACTAAAAGAGACATCTTTATCTTTTATCTCATGGTCTGAAATTACCAGCTGGACACTGCTGGACTCCAGCTCAAACATTGGACCTTCGAACTGCATCTCCTCACCCTTGCTATCAGAGCTATCCACAACAATGTTGTTACAGAGAGACTCCTACTGGGAGCTTTTTAATTCCTCCGGGATCTTTTTGTACCTGGCAGACACCTCTAAAAAGGTAGGAGAGTGTAAGAACCAACTACTTCTAAATAATTTATGGTAAAGAAAGTGCAAAGAAAGAAAACAGCAAAGCCCAAAGAAAGCAAGAACAGAGCTTTTAGAACTACTACATAAGTCCCACTTCGCAATGCGCTAGGCAGAGCCACTGGAGAGCAGGATGTCTCTCCTTGAAGAAGTAACAGAAGCAACAATTGGCCCTGTGTAAATGTTTAAGAGACAATGGAAACCCAAGCTAAGATTCTGTGAGAATTTGACATTCAGTGGGAAAAAATATTTTCCCTAGAGCAAAGCAGTAGCCTACTTTATATAAGTCAATTTTATCAAAGCAAAATTTTACACTGCCTTCTTTATGTACATCTCATAACAGGTTTTCAACACAATATATTGGAATTACTGCATACTTAGCTCATGTTATTATATTTTTAAAGATTTCAGAAGCTTTAGAAGGCAAGAACAGGAGGGAACTATGAAGCATATTATATACAGGAATAAAATTAAAGTTTCTGACCATTTTCTTTGTATCCCATTCCTAAGATGACTTCTGGCGCTCTGTAGTAACGAGTCACTACATAAGGTGTCATCATAAAGCTGGTTCCTGCTGTTCTAGCCAGTCCAAAGTCAAGAATCTTCAAAGTGCAGTCAGATTTTACCACTATATTGCTAGGTTTCAAATCCTTCACAAAAGAGAGAGAGAGATAATTTTAAGGCAAGTATTAATTTCCCAATGTAGCTCAGTAGAAACTAAAGTACAACAGACTAAATACCATATATCTTCAGTCTTAAGATGCCATCAATTGTAAGACTCACCCTAATTTCAGTAACAAGAAAAATACCTAAGGCACAACTACAATTCTAAAACAAGATGTGTATATAAGAAAAAGGTGTGTCTTAGAACCAAAGAAATACAGTTGTTTTCTACATTCAACTGCATCAATAAAACATCACTAATTCCTATAAATAGTGAAAAAGATGGTAAACTATAAGGTAAATCAGCAGCAAATATTTAGATAACTTGAAGTGAATCTGACAAATACGTAAAGCAAATTCTGAGATGCCAGAGTACAGAACCTTACTCATAAAACTTCATAGCAAAATAATCTGCCTTTTAAAGGTGTATTAATTTTGCCTATTAAATAATTTTAGAAAATATTTACTTGAATCAATTTGTTTAGGTTGATAATCTAAAGTAGTAGACCTTTAGTAGTAGGCACTTCACACAAGATACCTTTTTCAGAGGAATCCAATCCAATGGCTCAAAAAAAATAGCAATGTAATTCAAATGTGACAAAAATGATTTCCATTTGCATCTCAAATATCTTTCACAAGCCAGAAGTGAACATAAAGCACTAAAATGTGGCAAGTAAGAAAAAATAGCTCTGTATAAGAGATACCATTTGATGATAATAATTCTATAAATATAAGGAACAGAATTGAGACTGTCATAGCAGCAATGAACCTTGAGATCTGGAAGAAATATTCATAGTAATTTTATAGAGAAAGAAGGAATCTTCGCAGAAAGTACAAATCTGAGACTTTTGAGAGTTTTAATAGAAAGCTAGAAATATGCAGCTTCCTGTGCCACATGCAAACAATTATACATATGAAAATATGTAATTGTTTTGAGGTTAAATGTATGACTTCATTCAACCAAGTGCAATTTCAGTCTATTAATCTCTTTGTCAGATAAAGTGTCCTATGTTTTGGTCTCAAAAGTATAAAAACTCAGTTCTGCAAAAAGTAAAATTGCTTTATTCACACAAAAGAGCAACAAGCTCTGAAGAGTAATGCAAATATTAATTTAAATTAAGTAAAATTAAGTAGATACCTTCAGAAATGTCACTATATTGCTTTTAAGGGAACATAACAGATTAGGGGAAAGATAATATACCCCCCTTAACACACACACACACAAAGAGGAATATTAGATCTACCATAATAATCTCACTAACCCTATGTATAATTCCAGCTGAGTGAAGATGCTTAATACCACACAACATCTGATAGAGGAGATAGGACATGCGTTCATGGTCAAGCTCCATCTGAATCACCTGGCAGAGATTTGCATCCATGAGCTCCATCACTATGTAACTTTTGTGGGAGATCAAAAAATCAAATGAGATGGCAGCAATATCTTTGATCATCAATCAAGTATGCACTCATAATATCATAAACTAAAAAGACTTACACATCTTGAAATAAATCATACTTACACATCTTGAAATTCTTCTAGCAACTTCTGTGGAGTGAAGACATTCAACAGGCCAATAATCTAAAAAGTAACGAAATTCCCCAAATAATTTATTTTCAATTAAACATGCCAGTTAATATATTAAAAATTAAATTCAGAAACTACTTTAAAATCAAATTTAAAAAGCAAGGAACAAAAATCAAGCAGTCGTATAGGAAGGACAGCTATGAAGGAACTAGTTAAGATCCTGAATCAATCAACAAGATATGTAATTTAATACTGAAATTAGGATCATCTACATATCATACTTCCTATTTTTATGCATGATTTTGAAAGCTGAACAGGTAAGAAAAACCTTTGAAATTGTGTTGCTGGAGAAAAGTTCCACAGATACCATGAAATGTTAAAAAAACCAACACAGATCAAACCTTAACTCCCCCTAGAAGCCAAGATAATTGTACTAACCTCAGATGGTTGTACTTTGCCATACCATGAGAAGACATGACTCACTAGAAAAGGCAATAATGCTTGGTAAGGTAGAAAGCACTAGGAAAAGAGGAAGATCACATTCTAGATGCGTGGTTCTCAACCTGTGGGTCCCCAGGTGTTTGGGCCTACAACTCCCAGAAATTCCAGCCAGTTTACCAGCTGTTAGGATTTCTGGGAGTTGAAGGCCAAACATTTGGGGACCCACAGGTTGAGAACCACTGTTCTAGATGGATATACACTCAATCAAGAAAGTCATGGACCTGAGCAGAATGATTAATGAGTAGCTTAAGTACCCAGCAATGCGGGTTAGATCTACTGTAATATTATTTATTAAAAATAGTCATTGTTTGTTTTTGTTTTAGGAAATGCATAAAGATACGGGTGAACTAATTTCCAACATTGTGGATCAATTCCCCCCAAGCCCCACCAGTATTCAAAGTTGGTCATGTTGAGTATGTGTGCCAGGTTTGGTCAGGATCCATCGCTAGTTGAGTTAAGAGTACTCTCTGGATATGGGTGAACTATAACTCCCACCCTCCAATGTCAATTCCCTCCAAACACCACCAGCATTTAAAGTTGGACATGCGTGCGAAGTTTGGTCCAGATCCATTGTAGGCTGGGTTCAGAGTGCTCTGTGATTTTAAGTGAACTAAATTGCCTTTTCCCCCTAAGTACATGGGGGTGAAGTAAGGAATTTTACACATCCCACTTACACTACAAACTTTCTCAACAATCTACTCCACCCTGGGTAGCAGAGTTTAAAATCATCATAGCACCACTCCTTTGGACATACAAACCTGTACATCAAAGTACCTGAATAAAATAAAACTCTTTTCATGACACTTAGTTTAAACTTCATATTTAACTTTAAAACATTACACAGTTGTACTTACATTTTTGTGATTTACACACTTCATGAGAACAAGTTCTCTGTAGGCTCTTTTTGCATGGGTTTGGTTCTGAAACGGCCGACTTAGCTTTTTGATTGCAACATTTCTTTCAAGGATAGCATCATAGGCTGCACTGTAAATAAAAATTAATTGCTATAATCACATTTATGCAAATTAAAATAAAACTGAATGGAGTCAGAAAGAGATTCAAGATATATAATACATAGTCAGTCAGGAGTCTGATATTTATATTTCATATAGTCAAATGCTATGGATTGTTGCTATGGGAAGGGAGAATCTAACTGTTTAAGTCAAAGGCTCAGTCACAATGTCAAGACAGAACTTCTTGGTGCAGAGGTTATGCCTCTTCCCTTCCCTCTAGCCCTCCAAGAAAAAAAAAACTGTTTTCTTTCTTTCTATTTAATTTCAACCCACAGTATACCGTTATACACAAAATGAGGATATGCTGAACAGTTACTTTCTCCCCACACACATTTGGTTATCCAGCAGTTATTTAACATGAAACTTTCAATTGTGTCCATTCCCATTTTTTTTAAAAGTCACTGAACTGCTTTGAAAAAAGAAGGGCCTTACCATACTATGCCTTGTGCACCTGAGCCAATGGGTTTTAAATTCTGGTATCTTTTGAGTACAGTGAAGGTAGAATCTCCAATCTCTACACTGTAGAAGTTGTTTTCATGTTTACTTCTGCTCATGATTCCGTTAAATGAACACCTTAACTTAAAAGACATGAATCTGTAAAAACACAAAACAAAATTATATTTTTTCAAGAAAGTACAAACCATTTCTCCCATCTATATCACTAGAGAAATAGAAACATATTTGTCTTTTCATCAAATGCAAAATAACAAAAATACTCTGCAACGTTGAACATAAACATCAAAGGCAAATTTTCATTTCTCTTTTGGCACCAAGTCCAACTTAGAGGGAGAGACAGTACAGGTCATTGCTGAAAACCATGAAGGTCCAAATATCGTGTTTATTATTTTTTATACTTTTAGATGTTGCAGTTCTAACTATGTTGCCATTGATTTCAATCCTTTTAAAAAGAAAAATACATCTGAGGAAGATATATCAATGGATCAAGAGAATCATGAGTAATATGCTGTTTCACCTCTCCAGTTTGGACCATAACCAAAGACTATAGAATTCTGTAAGTATTTGTTTTTATTTTGTGTCCTAGATATAGATATATAGATATTTGGCTGGGGTTACATTTTAAAAATGTACCTGTTCTAACTTACAAATTCAACTTAAGAACAAACCTACAGAACCCATCTTGTTCGTAACTTGGGGACCGTCTGTACTGACAATAAAAACAACATTAGTAACATGGGTAATGTACACAATCATTGCAGGTAACACAAACATCCTGACAAAGGTAGCAGAATTCAAACACCCAGCTATGTCAGTTTACTTCAGCAGAAAAAGATAAATGAATCCTATAGCACCTTTCTGGCTATCTTTCTAGCATAAGCTTTTGTGAACTACATGCATCTGATGGAGTGGACTGGAGCTCAAAAAACTTGTGCTAGACATTTTTCTCAGTCTGAAAGGCAAGATTGAGAAAATCTCTTTGTATATTTTTAAACTGGCAGTAAATAAGCCAATTATTTATTTAGTTCAAAAGGAAACTTTATTCTGGTTCATGCATTTAGTGGTACACTGAGATTGTTTGTTGTCCAATGTGATCTATTCCGTTTTTCTTAAATTGTGGGTTCTAACCCCAAATGGGTCCCCTTAGCTCAATGTTGGGGTCTCCAAAATTTTGGTAACAGCATATTTTTAATGCCATCTAGTGGCAATTTTAGACATTTACATGAATTTGTTGTGCAGTGTTTACAGTAGACTCTGCAGAAGATGCTTCAGTCTGCTTAGCAAGCCTTGTAAATGCTAATTTGTTATCAGGAAATGTTTATTTTTTATATGTATTTTATATACCTGTACACCTGGAGTCAAGTAAACATTTCTCAGGCCAAAACAGGTCGCAAGTGGAAAGGATTAAGAAAGGATCTATTACACCTTTTATCGGGAATGCTTGTCCATATTCCACATATGGCAAACAAAGTATAAATTGGGTGGGAATTATGTTGGCCATGGACATCAGCTAGCCTTCAAGCCAATTTTGCCTGTTTTTCTGACAAATTTCTATGTTCTTCCTTCCTTCTTCAGAGAAATGAAAAGACACTGCCAGCAAGTGAAGAAGGCAGCAGAATAGATCATGCTTGCTCATGGCTACTCAACTCAATGATTTGCTTAGTAACTCTGATCCTTCTCACATGGTCTTCCTTGTCAGTCAAGAAACATCTGGTTCACTTGTACAGTAAAACTGACTGCTAGTATTGTTGGCTGTGAAAGCACTGCTGAGTAGACTGGCTTTGAGGTAGCCAATCACAGTTCAGAGCAGCTGTGAAGGGGGCTGTAGGACAATACAATGTTTTTAAAGGGAGAAGCTTGGTTGCAGAGGGGAGCAGACAGAGCTTTGATTTCAGCAAACAAGGCTTGAAGTTTGAGTTGAGTGTTGAGTTGACAAAGAGCTTTCGATTGGGGGGGGGGAGAGAGAGAGGGTGAACTACCCATGGTTTTGGGGAAACTATATCACTAAGGTGAAAGAGACAACTTTTGCAATCCAAATCTGAGAATTGGAATCAAATAATTCTAGTTGTGTTGACATCTAGAGGGAGATGAATTAAAGGATTTCACTTTGTCAGGAACTGATCAACTTATCAACTTAGGAAAGCAGAGTCCCTGTAAATTCATTACTGAGTAACAAAAGCATGAAAATTTAAAATTACTTAAAGAAGTAGCAGCTTCAAATCACTAAGGTGACTACAGCAAACCTATCCATAGACAGTGAAATCTCGATTTATAAGTGCACCAACTCATGTGTTTTTCGAGATACGAGCCATCTCTGATTGTTTTTTTTATCTGAACTCTGAGCCAAGATCTGAGTTACAAGCTAGCCCTTTTCCACCTTTGGCAAGATGGCAGCCACACTTAGAGACCGAAGTAGAGAGAGAAGGATACCAACAATCAAAGCATAGACTGCTCCATTCGCCGCAAGGGACTTCGTGGTGAGGCCCATTGCTCGGGCCCATAGTAGACCATGCAAGGCCAGCAATGGAGCTTTAGGGAACCTTCACAGTGGCAAGAGCAAGAGATGAGAGAACATGGCGGCAGAGAAGGAAGGGCTGGCTGAAGCCCCTGAACTCCACAGGGCTTTGGCACGGGAGACTGGAGACCTCCTTTCTCTCCATCTCTGAAGAATATGTGGTGGCCCTGGACTCCTCTCATCCAGCCAGAGAGCAGCAATGCCACTGTAGACCTCAGCCACCTGAGCAGATATCTGCCACTGAAGGGAATGCATGAGAGAGGCCAAGCTCGCAAGGAGGGAGGGAGACAGATCTGCGCCCCCTCTTACATCTTAATATCCCTCCATTTCATTTTAGCCTCTCCCCCATATTAATGTGGGGCCCATTTTCGCTTCCTCCATTTGCCCCTTCCACTCCACTATTTTCAGTCTCTGCTTGTTTTCAGCTCTAGTGTTGCTGCCACTCTTCTTCCACCTCCAGCTCCAATTTCTAGCAGGCTGTCATTTCTGGAAGGCCGGAACGGATTAATTGCATTTCAATGCATTAATTTACTTTGAAAAAAGAGCAATTTGAGTTAAGAGCTCAGTCACAAAATAAATTAAATTAGTAAGTCAAGGTATCACTGTATATTTGCAAGGCAAGCTATATTGCAAGACAGCTATTAAAAATGTGGGAAAATCCATATGTTTTGCTGTGCTACCAAATATAAGGAAAGGATGCTGGAGATGGCTCACTCAAGCTCTTTCAGTTGACAATGAGCGATAAGTAAGCCATCCCACCATCTGACTCAAAACTTTTACTGAACAAAGGTGGATCAACAAGTTAGTAATTTTTCACGGAACCTGTGAAATAGGTCAATGAATAGGTACTAGTAGAGACAAAACTCCATCCAATGCCTGTGATTGAAGACTCTTTTAAATGAGTAGGCATAGATATTAAGGGTCACTTACCGAGGGCCCTTCCACACAGCCCAATATCCCAGAATATCAAGGCAGAAAACCCCACAATATCTGCTTTGAACATGCAGATAATGTGGGATTTTCTGCCTTGATATTCTGGAATATAGGACTGTGTGGAAGGGCCCCTACAGCAACCAGGAAGAATACCTATCTTTTGACCGTAGTCACTTATGTTGTTTGGTACCCAGAAGCAGTTGCCTTATCAAATCCAAAAAAACACCACTGTTGCAGATGCACTGGTAACCTCTCTTTTGCAGAGTAGGGTTTCCCAGTGAAATGATTTCAGATTGGGGATAACACTCTTTGTAGATTGCATCTCTACAGAATGAACAAAATACAGGTTGAGTATCCCTGATTCAAACTGGTAAGGACCATTAGGGTTTTGGATTTCAGATTTTGGAATATTTGTATGTGCATAATGAGATATCTTGGAGATGAGGCCCAAGCCCAAACATGAAATCCACTTGTGCTTCATACACACCTTATACACAAAGCCTATAAAATAATGTAATAATTTTATGTGTACACAAAATCACTATCGTGTACAACTGTGGAGTATTTGAGAATTAAAGACACTCAACCTGTACTTTCCTCATTAGATTCTGAGTTCTGGCAGTGGCACTTGGGAAGAGCAAATAATGGCAATATTTTCCAGGCTAATCAAAAGATTAATACATTTTCACTTTCACAATAGCTTACACCAAATAAAACTTATTAAAGTTACAAAAACATTTAAAGGTAATTTAAAATGATATGGAGCTCATGGTTTATATTTTAAGAGCCACTGGTATGGCTGTTTTCTGTTCACTAGGTAATATAAATGTATGTTTGAAGGTTTTTTTTTACCTTTCTTCTCCCATATAAAATTTGGCCCACTCTTATTAATCATTGCACCCATTCATTAGAAGACAAAAATGGTGCATAGATTAATAAGATGTGGGGCATATTTGATATGCGGAGAGGAAGAACAAGGAAAAGGGAGGGTGACTGTGTAGAGATGATAGTGAAATGCTAAAACGGGACAGAGAAAAGACAGGACTGCATAACAGTTCAGGAGTATGTGTTGCTGAATCACTCAGTTCTTGTGAGTTTTTTTGTGCTGTATGGCCATGTTCCAGAAGCATTCTCTCCTGACGTTTCACCTGCATCTATGGCAGGCATCCTCACAGGTTTGTTCAGAGGTCTGTGGGAATTCTAGTTGTGTTGACAACTAGAGGGAGAAGTCTGTGGGAATTCTCAGATTAAATGTGTGTGTGTGTGTGTGTGTGTGTGTGTGTGTGGAAAATCCAGTGTGAACTCTTGTTTATTTGAGGCAAGTGTGAATGTTGCAATTAGCCAGCTTGATTAACAACTGAGTAGCCTTACAGTGGCAAAGCCTGGCTGTTGTTGCCTGGGGGCACCTTTTGCTTGCTAAACCAACCTGGACACTGAATACTATTTGAAAACACAGAAATGCTGGACCACTTTGACAACCAATATGTCAGACTACATAGAGAAGTCATTGAAATCCACAAGCATGTGGACAATTTCAACAAAAAGGAGGGAACCATGAAAATAAATAAAATCTGATTACCAGTATTAAAAAAAAACACCAGAATCAAGACAGCAAATAAAGAACACAATTCAGGGCTCTTCCACACATCCCAATATCCCAGAATATCAAGGCAGAAAATCTCACATTTTCTGCTTTGAACTAGAATATATGGCAGTGTAGACTCAGATAGCCTAGTTCAAAGTAGATATTGTGGGATTTTCTGCCTTGATATTCTGGGATATAGGGATGTGTGGAAGGGCTCTCAGAAGCAGGGGAACTCTAGTCAGCAATCAAGTGCCAGTGGGTTGTTGTAGGTTTTTCCGGGCTATATGGCCAAGTTCTAGAGGCATTTTCTCCTGATGTTTCGCCTGCATCTATGGCAAGCATCCTCAAAGAAGCCCCTGGTGGCACAATGGGTTAAAGCCCTGTGCCGGCAGGACTGGTCGCAGGTTCGAATCCGGAGAGAGGCGGATGAGCTCCCTCTATCAGCTCCAGCTCCTCATGCGGGGACATGAGAGAAGCCTCCCACAAGGATGATAAAAACATCAAATCATCCGGGTGTCTCCTGGGCAACGTCCTTGCAGGCGGCCAATTCTCTCACACCAGAAGCTACTTGCAATTTCTCAAGTCGCTCCTGACACGACAAAAAAAAAATCCTCAGAGGTAGTGAGATCTCACTTTGACAATACAATCAAGTGCCAGTTTACATCTCTCAAACAAAGCACGTCCCTAGGCAGAAACCACCAGGCTTTGCAGCTGCTGGGCTTTTCAGTTGCTAATCAAGCTGGCCAATTGCAATCATCACACTTGCCTCAAACAGACAACAGTTCTTTCCCCCACCCTGGACATTCCACTGACCCCACTTGCCTCATTCCCACAGACCTCAAAACCTTGAGGATGCCTGCCATAGGCGCAGGCGAAACGTCAGAAGAGAATGCGACTGGAACATGGCCATACAGCACGATAAAACCCACAGCAACCCAGTACAGGAGTATTTTGCTTGACAGAGTTACAAGCTTGGTAGATGAAGGGAATGATGTGAAGGCAGCTGATCTTGATTTCAGTAAGGTCAGCTTCCTCGCACATGGACGGGCACTGCTTCCTCAGCCATGAGATAAACACAGGTCCGATATCCCTTTCCCTCAGGCGGGGCCTCCAGCCTGCCTGCGCCTCTTGCCAGACCCAGCCTCCCTCTCTCGCCCCCCTCCTCCTCCTCCCGCCCCGAGGCCGGCTAAGGCCGCGCTGACCAAGCCTTCCCGCCCCTCCAGGCTGGCTCACCCGGCGGAGAGCACCCGAGGCGGGTGGCGGCCGGCGCCGGACTGCGGCGCTCCTCCTTCTCCTTCTCCTCCTCCTCCCCGGGCGGCGCTTCCGGTCTGCGGTGGTTGGTGGGCCGCTTCCGCATCCGCCGCTCGGGGTGACCAGGCGGAGTGACGTCACCGGCGCCGCACCTGCGCGTGGCAGCCCCTCCCCCTGGCTGCCTGGGGGGGGGGGGGCTCTGCTTGGCGCGCCTTCCAGGCCCTTCCGGTTGGGTTCAGGCTGAACGCGGCCTTGGCGTCCCCCTTGAAGATGAGAGACTGGGATTTGTCCAAGGGCGCCGCATGGGTTGCTATGGCCACGCAGCGCGCGCTTCTCGAGGGGGCTTCACGCTATATCCCACTCATTGGAGCTGAGAGAGGAGGCCGCCCACCTGTCACCCTGTCGCTGCTGCCTCCTCCTGCAGAATTCTGGGATTTGTAGTTGAGTGAGGCCCAGGGCCTCTCTTGGCTGAGCATGTCAAAGGCCTCTCCTCTAAACTACAAGTCCCAGAATTCCGCAGGAGGAGGAGGCAGCCACATGGCATGCAGACCCCTTGCCTATTCTTCTAGTGTGACACCTGTCTTCGTTTTCATATTCTGTTTGAAATATAATATTCTGTTTTAACATTTTATCTCATGCATTTGGCCCGCCCTTTGTGTTTGATTTTATTATGTTATTTTTCACTGTTTATTTTATTTTGTTATATTATGTATTTTGTTGTGATGTATTTTTCTGTTCGCAAAAGCTGGGTTGCAGCTAAACATCAAAAAAACCAAGATTATGGCAACAAGAATGATTGACAACTGGAAAATAGAGGGAGAAAATGTGGAGGCCGTGACAGACTGCATTTCTAGGTACAAAGATTACTGCAGATGCAGACTGTGGCCAGGAAATCAGAAGACGCTTACTTCTTGGGAGGAGAGCAATGTCCAGTCTCGATAAAATAGTAAAGAGTAGAGACATCAGACTGGCAACAAAGATCTGCTTAGTCAAAGCCATGGTATTCCCTGTAGTAACCTACGGATGTGAGAGCTGGACCTTAGGGAAGGCTGAGCGAAGGAAGATGGATGCTTTACAATACTGTGGTGTTGGAGGAAAGTTCTGAGAGTGCCTTGGACTGCGAGAAGATCCAACCAGTCCATCCTCCAGGAAATAAAGCCCGACTGCTCATTGGAGGGAAGGATACTAGAGACAAAGTTGAAGTACTTTGGCCACATCATGAGGAGACAACAAAGCCTAGAGAAGACAATTATGCTGGGGAAAGTGGAAGGTAAAAGGAAGAGGGGCCGACCAAGGGCAAGATGGATGGATGGCATCCTTGAAGTGACTGGACTGACCTTGAAGGAGCTGGGGGTGGTGATGGCCGACAGGGAGCTCTGGCATGGGCTGGTCCATGAGGTCACGAAGAGTCGGAGACGACTGAATGAATGAACAACAACATTTTTCTGTTGTTTTTCTGTCTAATTATGCTGTGTTATTTTTGGGCTTGGCCTCATGTTAGCCGTCCCGAGTCCCCTTCGGGGAGATGGTGGCGGGTTATAAATAAAGTTTATTATGATTTGATTATGATTATTATTATTAGAAACACAACAAGATCAGTCCACAGCAGACACTCTGCTGGCTGTTGTATTGGATCACACGTCGGACACTTCCCAAGTGTCTAGGACTGTGTGATGTATTGGCGAATAATGCGTGCAGATCCCAGTAAGGTGGCCTTTTGCAGCTGGCAGATGGTAATTTTGTCAGCGCCAATTGTGTTTTAAGTGCAGGTCAAGGTCTTTAGGCACTGCACCCAGTGTGCCGATCACCACTGGGACCACCTTGACTGGCTTGTGCCAGAGTCTTTGCAGTTCGATCTTTAAATCCTTGTATCATGTCAGCTTTTCCAGTTGTTTCTCTTCAATACTTTCTCAGCCTCTAAGGGCAGACATTTCACCAGTCTTATTTTTTTTGCCAGCAGCCTTTTCTGCCAACCAACAGAACATACTGGAGGGCTTTGTGGGGGGATCGACCCTAGATTTCAGGAGTTATAGTTCACCCACATCCAGATGGCACCCTGAACCCAGCTGACAACAGATCTGGACCAAACTTGGCACACATACCCAACATGGTCAACTTTGAATACTGGTGGGGTTTAGAATAGACTGACCCATGATTTCGGGAGTTGTAGTTCATCCACATCCAGCGAGCACTGTGAACCCAGCCAATGATGAATCCGAACCACACTTGGTACACATGCCCAACTTTGAATACATGGGGGGAAGTGGCTTTGAATGAATTTTGGGAGTTGCCATTCATCCACATCCGGAGAGCACTGTGAACCCAGTCCAATGACGGATCTGAATCAAACTTGGCACACAAGTCCAACATGCCCAACTTAGAATACCGGTGGGGTATGGAGCGGGGGGTTAACCTTGACTTTTGGGAGTTGTAGTTCATCTGTATCCAGAGAGCATGGTGAACCCAGCTGAAAATTGATCTGGACCACATGTGGCACACATATCCCACATGTTCAACTTTGAATACTGGTGGGTTTTGGGGGAATTTCAGGACTTGCAGTTTACCTGCATCCAGAGAGCACTGTGAACCCAACCAGCAACTGATCTGGACCAACCTTGGCACACAGACTCAACATGCCCAACTTTGGGGGAAAATAACAGATGATAGTGGGACTTGCAGCTCACCCAGATCCATATGCATTTTCTAACGGGACCACTCATAACATCTAAAAACACACAATTACTTTTTCTAATGTTTATCCTTACCAGATTACATAGCCAAATTACATCACTGGGTACCTAAGATAGTATATAATATCCTCTGCTTTGCAATACCCACTGAGGAATCTCTTGCTGTATTACTTCAAGTCATTTCTGACATATAGTGACTCTAAAGTAGGTCTTTATTGTGAGGTTTTCTTATCAAAATTTGTTCAGAGGGTGTTTGTATTTGCTTTTCTCTATTGAAGAGTTTCTCAAACTGCTTCCTCGGATGTTTTGGGTTTCAGCTCCCACAGTTCTAACAGCTTGTATGCTGGCTGGGATTTCTGGGAGCTGAAGTCCAAAACACCTGGAGGAGCACAGTTTGAGAAACACTGATCTACTGAATCATTAACCTGATCCAGCACAATTTTGTTTCAAATGTGAAGTCTGTGTTTGTATTCCAACATACAAATAAACAGCAAAATCTGTAAATAAATGCAGAGACTCGATTTTCCAATCTTTTCTTCAACTGAGCATAGTGACCACCTCAAGATAGGCCACCTCAAGAGCATTGTGGTTCATTCTACTGAGCAACCTTCAAGTGCCACAGATTTTTAAGAGTAAGAAACCTGGGATATATCTATGTTCCCCTATAGTTGAAGTTACAACACCACTTTAACGGTCATGGGTCCATCCCACAGAATTCTGGGACTTGTAATTTGATAAGGACTTAGAATTCACTGTCAGCTCTTTGTCCTACAGCATAAGAATACAGTGGAGAGTTCCAAGTTCCTTACCAAACCACAGATTCCAGGATTCCATATGGTGGAGCCACGGCTATTAAAGTGGCATCAAACTACAGCAATTGTGCAATATGAGTACACTTTGCCAGTGGTAATGCCTTGCTGCTATATGTCTTCCTTTTGCTCATTCAGTTTGCCGGCTTCACTCATGTGCTTCTCCCAACAAACTCCCACCAGTGATGGATCTGGACCAAGCATGGCACATTTATCAAACATGACCAACTTTGAATACTGACAGAGTTTTGGGGGAAATGACCCATGATTTTAGGAATTATCGTTCATTCATATTGTGGCACACATACCCAACATTTGTTGAGGGAAAAGGAACAAAGATCATGAGAGATTGTTGCCAATGAAGATGAGCAGCTTGGAGAAACATATGAAAGCTTGGAGGTGCCTCCAAGTGAGACGTGAGGGTGCTAGGAGGCATGACGACAGACTTTGGGACCTACGGAAAGGTGGTATTATTCTGTCTACCTCACCAGCCCCAGTGAAGCTTCAGCAGAAGACAGGACCAGAAAGTCCTTTGCAGTGTAATTCATACTATTCTCAGGGAAAGATGTGTAATCTGAGTTTGTGTGACATCACAGAAGCCCAAGAAAAAGGTTCTACAGGGGACTTTGGCCGTTGACAATGACGCTGCAAAGTACGATGGCATCTGTTTAATTTGTGAGATTCATAAGAGGAATATCCTGAACTCTGGCACTATGTGTATATCTGATAATGTTTTCCTAAATTAAACTTCCTTTGAATCGAAGGTGGACTCTGAATACTACCTTCTGTATAAGGTTGTATCCATTTCTCTTAAATGACATTACTGTAGGGAGATCTGTGATAAGGTTTGTCTTGTAGCTGGGTAATATAATATGTGTATTGTAACATGAACATGATCTTTAATTATCCAGTATAGTAAGGCCTAACTGAAGAAATAAGACATATTTCTTTGCCTTTTTACATTTGCTCATTTATCAAAATGCATTAGATAAGTTAGTTAAATGTATGATGACAGGTTTTCACTGATCTTAATTAGCTGTAAAACACGTTTTCTGTCTACATCAGATTCTTTCTCTCTTTCTTCTCGGTCCTAGGATGTTGCTTTATCTTCTCGTATAGCACTACGGCAGTGGTTTTGAACCTGTGGTCCATGGACCACCAGTGGTCTGCAAGAACTAAAATATGGTCCACACCCTCATTGTTACTACTACAAATAATAACACAGCCCAACCAAAAAAAAATTTGGTGTCTTTGTTTTTAGGCCTGTTCCTGGGGTTATTTGGGGTGCTGATTCAGAAAATTGCATTAGATAGATCACATCAGCTCTAGATTATTAAATATCATTTTCTGTAGGTGAGCAGATGGTGACTACTGGGTGGCATATGTTCTGTATCAGAAACTAGAGCTGATGTGGTCTATCAAATGCAATTTTCTGAATCAGCACCCCAAATAAAGTTGACTAAAAACTGAATCGTAGCTCTTTTGGTACTAATATTGGAGTGTAGTCCCTGGTCAAAGTGGTCCCTGTCATAGTGGTCCCTGGTCATAGTGGTCGCTGGTCATAGTGGTCGCTGGTCATAATGGTCGCTGGTCAAAGTGGTCCCTGGTCAAAAAAGGCTGGGAACCACTTCTCTATGGGCTGAGGTTATACATTGTTTGGCAGCTTTCCTTATACATTTTGAAACCAGAAATTGAAAAAAAGATGTCACTACACATGTCTTCATGCTACACATACCTTTTCACAGAATTAGCCCTGTGAATCATTGGAGGCTACCCACAATTAAGTGTCTATAGGATTACAATCTTAGTAGACAACTTTCTCAGACTTCTAGATTTCATTGAGATTTTCATTTGTTTACTAATAATTCTTATTTCTAGATGAATGCAGTTACTTGGGACTACTAGAAAGACAGTAAGATTTCACTTTCCAAGGCCAGTCACATATTCCAGTCAGATGTGTAGCAAGGTGAGATGCAACTTAGACACGCTTTGTACTACCTGACTGACTTATACAATGCAATTAAAGACTCAAAAGGAGTGAGCGAGGTATTAGCCCGATTGCTTCTTTATTTCTCAAAAAAATATTGTATTAAGTTAGAACTATACCTTTGTGCAGAGTGGAAGCTTATCTAGAGTTTGTTGCCCAGTTAGGCAGTTACTTTGGGGAAAGAATTCTAACAACCCTCTATTGTTCTCCTTCTCTCCTGTTCGCAAACAACTTTTTTTTCTTTATGATAAAGCAGAGGATGTATGATGACAGGTATCAGAGGGAGCGTTTGCTGCAATAACTGTTTTCTCCATTTGTGCTATATAGTCAAAGTCGTCTTCAAAAATGGGTTATCAAACATTAATTCTGTTGTGTATCATTATCTTTCTTTTTTAGTGGGAGAAGTTGTTCCAACCGAAATGAGAAATAATATTTGGACTTATCAGGAATTGTTAATTCACTGTCAAAAGATTTTCTATTGAACTCCATGATTTCACATTGATGTAGCATTGGGGGCTGTGAGGTGGTGGCTGGAGTGTGAAGGGATGGGTGTGTTATTTTCTTGTATTTAATTTTGTTGTACAACATACAATGGGAATACAGTTATTCTATTCTTTGCATTAAGGATTACTTTACTTTTAATTTTTTCCATATGTATATAATTTTAGTAATATATATTTATTTTAAGACATACACATACACAACATTTAGAATTCCCACCACCAATACAAGCAGGCCCGTAGCCAGGATTTCGTTTCGGGGGGAGGGGGCTAAAACATTTTCAGGGGGGGTTCGGGGGGGCTGAGTTTCGGGGGGGCTGAGTCTGAGTGAAAGAGGGTCTACGCTAGCAAACCTTTTGTACTGTTACCCCAATACCCCCATGCATATGGGATATATTGAGTATGGTGATCAGATCATAATATGAATAAACATAACAGTTTAAATAATGCATCAGTAAGGCCTTTTCGCGAACCACCATGAGAATTTCGGGGGGGGGGGCTGAAGCCCCTCAAGCCCCCCCCCCCCCCGGCTACATGCCTGAATACAAGGATTGTTTTCTTTTACATATTAATTATTTTTGAGATTATTTACATATTAAATAACATTTGTATCCTATTTCTTATAGCCTGATCTGTAGACTTATTCATCTTTCTTCAACTTTTCACAATTTATTTTCATTACCCTTAGAATCATTTAATTTTGCATCCATAATTTCAAATTCCATTTGATCCACCATATACAGATACCATTTATTTACTGTCCACTTTGATTTCTCTTTCCATCCCTATTGTTGTGATGAAGTCTTCAAGTAGTGATTCTACTGGGAGTATTAGGAGGGGAAGAAAGACTACTCGTGAGCAAGATTCTCTTGGTTGTGAACTAATAAACTTTACTTTTACTAAATATTAGTCTGGCGCTTTAAGGGATCTGTCTTGCAACACCTATACTATCACCACTTGTGTGCACTCAATTATTGCTTCCTTTAATTTCCCATTCCCCGTCTTTGTACTAAGACCGCCATTTATTTTGTAATCACCCAAACCATTCCTAATATTTGGTTTGACACATTTATGTTCCTCACTACCTCTGAGGATGCTTGCCATAGATGCAGGCGAAATGTCAGGAGAGAATGCCTCTAGACTAGGGGTCCTCAAACTAAGGCCCAGGGGCCGAATGCGGCCCTCCAAGGTCATTTACTCGGCCCTCGCTTAGGGTCAACCTAAGTCTGTAAACGACTTGAAAGCATACAACAACAACAACAACAACAATCCTATCTCATCAGCCAAAAGCAGGCCCACACTTCCCATTGAAATACTGATAAATTTATATTTTTAAAATTGTTCTTCATTTTAATTATTGTAGTGTTTTAAAGTGTTTTTGCACTACAAATAAGATATGCGCAGTGTGCATAGGAATTCATTCATTTTTTTTTTCAAATTATAATCCAGCCCTCCAACACTTTGAGGGACTGTGATCTGGCCCTCTGTTTAAAAAGTTTGAGGACCCCTGCTCTAGACCATGGCCATACAGCCCGAAAAAACCTACAACAACCCAGTGATTCTGGCCATGAAAGCCTTCAACAATACATTTATGTAGGGTCTGCCAGATGTATTGTACCTTTTCGTATTCCAACATTATGTGCATATGCCACCCTTTCTGTAGACATCCATGCCAGCACTGACTGCTTCCCTTTTTATAATTGGCAGGGTGAACAATACCACTTATGTAATATGAGGGTTATCCAGAAAGTTAGGTTACAAGGCATGTAGCTCTCGTGGCGAATTTTCGCAGGGGAAGTTGGTATCACTGACATGTAGTGGGAAGCCATCAGAAGCGAACGAGCAGTACCAGTCGTCAATAGCTCATTGACTGGCATTGTGGTGAAGGTTAGAGATGAGCGTCCTCATTCTGTTCCTTCCAAGTGTGAAGCTTGCTCTGTGATATGCTATCTAAATGCTAAGGGCATGAACACTGCTGTGATTCATCACAAAATAGTTTCAGTTTATGGAGAGGACGTAATGTCAAGACAGCATGTGGCAAAATGGGTACAGAATATATTGTTAGACCATGAAAAAACTTCGCAGAGCCATCCAAAACAAATGTTGTGAGATGCTGATGACGGGAGTCTGTCTTCTTCATGACAATGCATGTCCGTACACCGCTCATGCAACACAAGAGTTGTTGACTTCATTTGGTTGGGATGTTTTAAGCCACCCCTCTCACAGCCCCGATCTCGCACCCAGTGACTATGTTCACCAAATTGAAGGAACACCTGGGTGAAAAACACTTTTCCCCTTGGCTTGCTGGGAAATCTGTCACCTGAATGCTATATTTGGAGAAATTCTAGAACAAAGCAGGATTCAGATAGTAAAATGAGAAAATTCTATATATTACCCTAAGGTTCTTTTTAGATATTCATAAAGATTTTTTTTTGCTTTGTTTAGGATACAGATGATAAAAATAGCACACTGTTAAAAGACCATGGACCGGAACATTCTAAAAACGTTTCAGAAAGGTATCGTTTTGGCATCTGGATGCATCTTCACTTATGTAATACAGTTTTGCTTGCAATTTTTCCAACAGATGCAGTTGGCGCACAAGTTTTAATTGTGCACAGGCCCTTCCAGTTACCACAGATACCTGGGCCTCCAGATTCAATGCTGAGTCCAGGGGGACCCCCAAACTGCAGACCTGTGTCTTCAGTGGGGGCATAAAGGCAGACCCAGCTAGCACAGGCTGAATCCCTGTCCCCTGATCTCCCTTCCAACTAACTAGGAGTACCTCTTTCTTGTCTGAATTAAGTTTCAATTTGTTTGTTCTCATCCAGTCCATTACGGATGTCAGACACTTGTTTAAGGTCAGGACAGCTTTCTTGGCCTTAGGTGGAAAGGAATAGTAGAATTGGGTGTCACCTGCATATAGATGGCACTGAACTCCAAAACTCCGGATACCTCTCCCAGCGTTCTCATGTATACGTTAAACTGCATGGGGTACAAAATGGAACCCTGAGGAACCCCACAAGACAATGGCTAGGGATCAAACAGGAGTCCCCAGCATCACCTTCTGGGTAAGACCATCCAGGAAGGGCCAGAACCGCTATAAGACAGTGCCTCCCAATCCCATCCCAGCGAGATGACCCAGAAGGATACCATGGTTGATGGCATTGAAAGCCGCTGAGTGTTCCAGGAGAACCAACAGGGTCACACTCCCCCTGTCTAGCTCTCTGCTGAGGTCATTCACCAAGCGACCAAAGCTCTCTCTGTTCCATAACCAGGTCTAAAACCAGATTGAAATGGATCTAAATAATCCATTTCATCCAGAAATCTCTGGAATTGGAAAGCCACCACATGCTCCAAGACCTTGCTCAGAAAGGGGAGGTTGGACACTAGCTGATAGTTGTCCATTATAGAGGGATTCAGGGATGGCTTTTCAAATATATGTCTCACAACTGCCACCATTAGGTGAGCTGGAACGTCGCCTTGTTCCAAGGAGGCATTTTGATTCAAAATTCTGAAACTGGAATGCTAATTATAGGAAATTTGTATATACCCTTGTTCTATCTTATTTCCTACTTTTCTATCTTCTTCATAATATTCTCCCCCTTTCCATGTAACTATATTACCTTTCAATAAAAATTAATTTTTTAAAAAAAACCCAACAAATTAACTAACTAAATAACAAGATCCCTTGTTGTGCACATCAGTAAAAGCAGTAAAAAAACTCCTTGGCAATTTCTGGAATTTTCCGCCATTGGAGCCCCTGGTGGTGCAGTGGGTTAAACCGCTGAGCTGCTAAACTTGTTGACCAAAAGGTCGCAGGTTCAAATCTGCGGAGCAGCGTGAGCTTCCACTGTTAGCCCCAGCTTTTGCCAACCTAGCAGTTTGAAAACATGCAAATGTGAGTAGATCAATAGGTACCGCTTTGACGGGAAGGTAACGGCACTCCATGCAGTCATGCCAGCCACATGCCCTTGGAGGTGTCTATGGACAACATCGGCTCTTCGGCTTAGAAATGGAGATGAGCACCACCCCCCAGAATCAGACACAACTAGACTTAATGTCAGGGGAAAATCTTTACCTTTACCTTTACTTTTACCCTTCCCTTTACCTTATAATGCCTAATAAAGCTGAAATTTTAAAGTCTTGAACATGGTTTTTAACACAGAACAGCAGTGGATGGAAACCAACCAGAGTAGCAAAGACATTTTCAACAACTCAGAACTATACTGTGATCTGGAGAAAACTTTCAGCGTCAGCCTTATTTATAACTCTGAGCTAATATTCCTTTTGAGAAACCCTTTCTCTGCACTTAAATTGGATATGTTAACTTTCAGCTCTGAGGACAGCGTTAGACTACAGTTGCCATCAACCAGAGCTAGCATGATCAGTGATGATAAAATGTATTTCATCGCATAATAGTCACACCCATGCTTTTGCTTTCCCCCTCAAAGTAGTCACACCCTTAGTTCATTCATGTGAGCAAGTGAACGAAGAGTTTGACTGCCCTTTTGGCAAGGGGGCAGCCTGTGCCCCTTTGCCAAAAGCTTCATTCACCCGCATGAGTGCTCCCTCAAAGAGAGAACCTGCACAGGTGAGTGAAGTATCACCCACCCTCGTGCCTTCCATTTTAAAGGCACAGCCATATGGGCAGGTAACACTCCACCTATCTGAATGGCTGTGTCCTCAAAGGGAGCACCCATGTGAGCTGATGACACTCCATCCACCTCCACGGCTGCAATTTCAAAGGGGCAGTCACATAAAGGGAGTGAAGAGTCACCTGCCTATTATGCAATGAAATACGGTATAGTAAAGTAATACAGTCAAAGTACTATCACAATTGTGTTCAAATAACTGTGCCTAATATATGATATCCTGTTGGATCAAGTATAGCTTCAGGCAAGGATGTTCCTAGCAATGGGAGAGGCCCAAATACTCTACAGAAATGAGCAAGGAAAAAGAGAAACAAGCACACTTGTTTTGGAATAATTTCATTCTCGTGCTATTGAAAGTATATCCAAAAGTACTATACCTTTTCTCATTCCCAATGTTAAATGAATAATGTTGTTATGAAGCCCGCAGAAGTACAGCCTCCAAACACAGCAAAGACAGGACAGAAGACAGTCAGATGGTTATATGAGTGATGACGATGTTAGCATAGCCCAGAGACTGGCTACCTTCCCCAAAGGTATTTACATAAGCGCCTACCTTGACTGGTAGGAACGTGTCTCTAAACTGGCTATGGGTTAAGAAATGACAGGAAATTATGATTTTGATTGTTTATGGGTGTTTTCACACATCACTAAAAAACGTGCCAAAGCAGATTAAAAAAAACCTGCTTTGGTGCACATTTAAGTCCCCACCTCTACCCCAAAAAACTTGGGTTTTTCCTGGGAGAGGGTGTCTAGATGCCATCCTGACTACTATTTGGATGGCATGCAACCACCCCGAAGCCCCTCAAAAGAAAAAGAAAAAAATGTATCCGGCTGCCATTATGGTCCTCCTCGGATCCTCCTGGCATGAGGAAATATTAGCATAAAGGCTTCACTAGCATCCCAGACTATTCAGTCCCTTTAGTCATATTATCCTCAAAAATATGTTTTAGCTGCTTCTTTCAGAATTACTTTCTTATCAAATAATAATGATTAATTGTGTCTCTAATTAAATGCCCTCTTTCTGTTTACCAAATTAAAACAAGAGGATTACGATCTGATGTTGTTCTAGGCAAAATATTCGCACTTTTCATTTTTATATGATATGGATTTAGATATCAGTCCTCAAAAATGACTTGAATTTTTTATATCAGCAGAGAATTCCTTCCTTGCAATTCTCATTTCATTTAACATTTGGGCTAATTCAGTTGATTTGGGGTGGTCCACAGATGTTCTTCTAGCTCAGTGGTTCTCAACCTGTGGGTCCCCAGATGTTTTGGCCTCTAACTCCCAGAAATCCTAACAGCTGGTAAACTGGCTGAGATTTCTGGAAGTTGTAGGCCAAAACACCTGGGGACTCACAGGTTGAGAACTACTGTTCTAGTTCCTTTAGCTGCCATTTGTCTTGTAATCATTAAAACTTTCAATATATTCCAAAATAAGCACTAATCTATTACTGCGTTGACAGTTGCCAATTGATTTTACAGTAACTTGAACATTCCCATAGAGGTATGTCCTGTACACTTGGTGGCACTGAGCTGCAAATACTTTCTAGTTCTCCTCTCCATTTTGGGCCCTTCCAGATATAATTAAATTCTGGGAGGAACTAGGATAATAGTCCTGACAACCACTCCAAACCCTGGGCCTCCTGCATCAACCAAATGTCGCCCCCACCCTCCCCTTCCAGCTGCCCACTTCCCCCAAAACATACATGAGGGGCCTGAGTGCATGCTCAGACACCTCTGTGAAAAGCTCCTAGCGTGTCACAATGATGTGTCAGGAAGTTGGGAGGGCAACGGAGGAAAATCCCTCCGTCCATTCCACCCCCCAATCTCCCGACGTATCCTTTTGATGCTTTAGGACTTTTCCTCAGAGGAGCCAGAGGGTGGGTCTAAACAGCCCCTTTATTGCAGAAACTTCCGCAATAAAAAGGGGGCTGTCCAGACAATGTTTTGGACAATTCCGAATTAATTCACCACAAACCAGGAAAATCCCGAATTAATTTGCCACAAACCAGGAAAAACATAGTTTGTGGCAAATTTGTGGCAAATTAATTAGATAATGGGTTTATTCCGCGCCTTCTTGGAACCCACTACTTTTGGTGTCTGGACTGYAGTCCAGACATAATTTCCACAGTTTTCYAGACTAAATTGGCCYGGAAAACTCTGGGAATCCCAACCCCCTCCCCCAAAGCCCCCAAACCCCCCTTAAAAGTAAAATAAATTTACTCGGCCTCCATTACAGTGTTGCTGGAGCTCTCCTGTTGCATAGAAATGACACTCCAGGAGAGCCGGGGGTGGGGAAGGAAGAGTGGTTTTCCTCTTCTATGTGCCAGGAGAGCTCCGGCAACACTGTAATGGAGGCCGGGTAAGTTTATTTTACTTTTAAAAGAGGTTTTAGGGCTTTGGGGGAGGGGGGGAGGGTCTCCACATGTTCTGCTGGGCCAGTCCCAARAGAACATTAGGACACCCACCCCAGAAAGTGCACGCTTTCTAGGGTGGATGTGGACAGGCCCCCAGGAACATCCACGTTTTTTAAACACAGATGCTCCTGGGATAACAGCCTGTCTGGAAAGGCTCTAAGCATGCAGCCAGGCACCTCATGTAAGTTTTGAGGGGAAATGGAGGGCTGGGAGAAGAGGGTAGGAGTGACATCCAGCTCCTTTAGACTCCAGGAGCCCAAAGAACTGGAATCGCTGTGGGGATTGACCCAAAGATCATGAAAACCTGCCACTTTCCAAAGCAAGTGCAGATCTTTCCACACTCTGACCCCATGTTAAGGTTAAGATAGCAATCTTTCAGAAAGTTGACTGCCAGTCTGAAAACATTTACCTTTTGAAAGCTCTGTTGAAAAGACCTATCCAATTAGAAATGGTTTTAAAAATTATCTATCATTTAGGAGGGGCCACACTGGTCAGTGAAGAGGAATTGCTTCAGCTGGCTAAGGTGAGACCACCACAATCAAATGGTGGTTCACAATGTAATATTGAAAGTCTAATACAGAAGATTAAGACACAGATAGAACAGCAGGAGGCCCTTAAAGAATTTATGGTAAGTTCCCCATGCTCAAGTGAGAGTTTTATTTGTTTAATAATTTATTATACTTATTTATACCCTGCTTTATCTCTCCCAAAGGAGACTCAAAGCGGCTTAACATAGAAGCATTAGTACACAATTTAAAATATACAAATATACAAACATTAAAACAGAATTAAATAAACCCCATTCAAACATATTCAATGCATATTCAAAGACAAAATCACAGCAATAAGCTTTGCTTTAATGACAGGAAGGACTGAGGAAAAAAGCTTCATTATGCGATAACTGTGGTTCCATATTCTCAATGACATTTCAGAGATTCACACAATATATACCTACCTACCTACCAATACCTATATGCAGGTATAGATACAATCTTGAGATGTGATACATGTTCATTCATATTTGCATCCTTCTGAAATAAGAATTAATCAGTCATGCATCAGGTGTGCACAGAAGCATTTAATGCACCTATATATATATATATATATATATATATATATATATATATATATTCTGACAGGGTATAACTGGTTTATACAGGAACTAGTTACATTCTCTACATTTTACATTTAAAACTATGGTTCAACACTACATTGAAATAATGCAACAAACCACAAAAAATGCCACAGGAACCGCTCTTTGTACCTGATGATGGATAGATCTCTGAGTCGCATTTAATCACCCCCATCTAGTCCTGCGTTGCTTCCAAACAACAGTTAGGGACGTCTACAGCATAATTTGGCTTAAAAGAGAGCTAGAACTGAGTATCATCAACTTACTGATGAGCCCTGACCCCAAAATGCCATGTGATATTTCCCAATGGCTTCATGTAAACGTGGAAAAGTATGTATAAGGAACCGTTCAGAGCCCTGTGAAATCCCACAGGATAATAGACAAGATGCTAAACAACAATTCATGATCAGAAATATCTGGGCACATTAAGGACTTCCCCCACAACTCTTTGGGACATCATCTGGATGGCTCACTTTAAAGTGCAGGAACTCCCACTCTAAAGGGGCTGTCTGGAAGCACCTCTAGGTGTACAACCATCTATGGTAATATCCTTGCACATTGATCATGTTTAATTTAATTTTGTTTTAGAGTTTAGACCATATCAAACCACTTGATGACTGCCATGTTGCCAAAGCACCAGAAAACCGAGAAAAGAACAGATACCGAGATATCCTCCCATGTAAGCAAAAGTAACTATTAGATCAGGGAGAATGCTTGGGGGCTCATAAATCCACACTTCAACATATTAGGGAGGAATAGGTTGCCTTGGACATAGCAGAGCAGATTGTTTTGTAGGAAAATCAGATAGGGGATCTCTGTCAGGGGGTGGTTACTCCCCAAACATAGGAAGTAGACACTTGGAGGAAGATAACACGTAGGAATAGAAGCACCTGAGTCATTTTGGAAGTTTGGAGCTATAAAATCAATTTGAGGTTCTGTCCAGAATCATTGATGATGCAGAACAATATGAAGTGCAACAAAGCTTGTCCTCGGGGAAAGTGCAGGTGCCCCTGGAAGAGTAATACATGGGAACCCCCCCACCAAACATCCAAGAAGACTGTAGGGGACTCCCTGCTGAGGGGCACAAAACCAATGGTTTATGTACCTGACAGGATGACTCAAGGTGCTTATCATCAGTAAAATGATAGATCTGGAAATCGGGATTTGACCTCTGTTATGTGGGTTTCCCTGAAAACACAGGATTTCTGTTTGGTATTAGTAGAGCACACCATTTACTACAAAGGGCACCCAAATCAGTTCCATGTTGGGCAAACTACACATGAAGCTGATATGGGATAATGTATGTAAATGCTAGCTTAACACAGCCTTGATCTGTATTAACCAAAGGTTGCTCTAGTATTCGAAGCAACTTTGGGAGCATGCAAACGGTTGAGCAAGTTCTGAAATGAACAAGCGATACCCTCTCAGCCCACAAAATATAGTGATAAATTCACCTTAGGGTTGTTGTGTGCTTTCAAGAAACTTCTTGAAAGCACACAACAGCAACATTGTTTCAAAACTATTATTTTAAATATGTTGTTAACCAACTTGATTTTCATTATTGGGAGAAAAGTGGGATAGAAATTAATAAAAAAAATACCTATGTTAACCCCCACCCCAATCAGTAACAGGGTTCTACATTTTACAATTGCCCTAACATTTCCTTGATGATGAATAAACAATTCTAATTAATAATGTTCATGAATGCTTTGTTTCTTATTAATAGACCTGTAGGCTCTTGCTCTCTTTTTAGATGATCTAACAAGAGTTACCCTTGGAGAAAAGAAAGACTTCATCAATGCCAGTTACATTCGTGTTCCAGTGGGCGAAGAAGAGCTCTTTTACATCTCAACCCAAGGCCCTCTTCCTTTCACCACAAATGACTTCTGGCAAATGGTCTGGGAAAACCACTCCAATGTCATTGCCATGATTACAAGAGAAAAGGAGCATGGGATACAGAAATGCCATCGATACTGGCCTGAGCCTCCCAGTGATTCTATTGATTTGACCCAGTTCCAGTTGCGACTGGATAACTACCAAATCCTGAATTGTTTTGTTATTAGAATAATAGAAGTGATGAACAAGCAGGTATGGATATAATGCTTTCCTTCTATGCACATTCAGACCATTATACCTTTTTTTCACTAAGCATTACATTGTGGCATTCATTCATGCCAAAATATTCTAACAATATTATGTTGAGGCTTATTCAAGTAAAATCATGAAACCTTTGCTTTAATTTAAAAAACTTAGAAAATTAGACAGTTACCGAGTTACAAACATCTGACTTACAAATGACTCATAGTTAAGAATGAGGGTGAGACAACAGAAAGTGAGAGAAAAATTCCCCTAGGAAGGGAAATTCACTCCTGAAGAAGTTATCATGGGGAAAAGATATCTGCACTGGAGCTATCTCACCAATCCTTTTTTCTATGTCAACTCAAAATGTTCAAATTCCAAATGTCACAGGGACAGAAATTGATGTGAAATCTTCTGAACCGGGGAACAGACAGCAAAGCAAATGTCACAGGGAGTGTTAACCCTTCCCTATGCTATCCAAAACTATATATATATAGTTTTGGATAGCATATATATATAGCTTTTGACAAGAAATCCCTTTGTCTTGAACAAGGACAAATACAGGACATTACATATATCAATCATCTCTAATTTCTCTCTAATTGTCTAAGAACTGACTCATGCACGGATACATGACCCCTGTTGCCTCTTTCCTTTGCAGACATTGGAGAGGCGCCTGGTGCATCACCTCCAGCTCACAACCTGGCCTGACCATGGCACACCCAGATCATCGGAAGACCTTCTCAAGTTTGTTCGTTACATGAGAAACATTCACCGGTCAGGACCTATCATTGCACACTGCAGTGCTGGCATTGGAAGGAGTGGAGTTCTGCTTTGTGTGGATGTTTTGTTGCGCTACGTAGAAAAGGCTATTCCTGTATGTTCATTCAAATTCATTTTTTTAAAAGTAAATAATCCCTTCTTTGTAATTCTACAAAAAGGGGGAGCAGCTACTTCAGTTCAATACAAAGTTATTTTGCAAGAATATTTTTTAAAAATATGACATCTCAATCATTGATTTGTATCTATGTATCATCATCCCTCCCTTTCCTTTTTTCAATGAATTTTCTTTTTTAATGTTTCTTTTTAAATTTTTTGATACAACTTAAACATATCAAAGGCATGCTTTGCAAAAGATTTATACAGGTAAACATTTACTGGCTAAGGACCCTTCCAGACTGGCCCAAAACACGGGACCAGTCTCACTTTTTACCTGAGGTGTCCAAACAATACCTCAGCTTAAAGTGATTTAATGTGGAGAAAACTGGGTCTTCAGTTTGTTCCACATTAATTTGACACCTGGAAAGATTCGGACCCTAAGCTAAGGTCCGAATCTTTCCTGGTGCTGGGCCTGTGCAGATTGATTCCCAAGACTGCTTCCGTACTTCCAGGAGTCAATTCCCAGAGCATTCCCAGTTTTTTGAGCTCCTGGAGCCTCTGCTGACTAAAAGCACTTCTTCTGTTCAAGGCTTCATTAAAATCTGCACCTGGAGATAATTGACCAGGCGCAGAGCCTTTCCCAGGCTCGAGATCTTGGGAATCTCTTTGTAGCAATACAGGCCTCTCTAAGCCATCAACTGAACTGCATACATGCCTCACATCTCTAAAACCAGACCTAGGAAACAAACCTAGGAAACAGACCATCAGGAACAGACCATCAGGAACATGTCCATGAAGATGTTTCCTTCAGGAACATCTTCATGGACAGCATCCCCATTCCTATCAGAGGAATCAACTTGAACCTTAACAACATTGTCATTCTCATTATCCAAAGCAACCTGATTATTAGACACAATCATAGGCTGAATAGGCTGACATACAATAGGTTAAGGGGAAAGACAATGTCCAAAAATGTCCAGTAGAGGAGAACAGAAAAAAGAAACTATATAATTAAGTAGATTGTAACATAGGAGAAGCTACAGAAATAACAAACAACAATGAAAAATGAAAGCATCTGGTAATACAGAAAATAAAAATTGTTTTAAAAAATCAAGGAATAATAATGTACCCTAAAAACAAAATAAATAATTAAAAATAAGAATTCCCCCAAAATTGAAGAGCAGAAAAAATAAATAAATCCAGAAAGCAAAACCAGGTATAATTATAAATAGATGTGTGATACAATTATAATAATATCTGGTTTTGCTTTTCGGATTTTTTTTCTGCTGTGCAATTTTGGAGAAATTCTTATTTTTAATTATTTATTTTGTTTTTAGGATACATTCTGAAACTATTGCCAGTGCAATGACTCCATGACCCACTAGATGTCACCCTTTAACTAAGTTATAAAACTCTGTGTTCAGGTAGTCTAAATCAGCACTTCTTGAACTTTTACACTTGTGATCCCTTTCAGCCCAATACATTTTGACGTGACCCCCAGGTATATAGGTATATAAAATATATAAAAACCAAACATTTACTGATAACAAATCAGCATTTGCAAGGCTTGCTAAACAGGGCGATGATCCTTCTTAGGAAGTAAGCTGAGGCATCTTCTGTAGAGTCCAATGTGTGAAGGTTGGTAAATGTGAAAAAGCAGAATAAGTAGAAGCTTTACCACAGTATTTAAACCAAGATATATCCTGCTGTATAATAAAATGTCAGTCAGGCTTGTAAAGCAAGTAACTGTATCTTTACTTTAGTTCAAAGGTTCAAACATTGTAACAATGTATACATCAGTCCAACTTACCTATCCAAATGTATCTCTCCTTATGAACCATCTAGCACACAGCGGTCCTCAAACTTTTTAAACAGAGGGCCAGATCACAGTCCCTCAAACTGCTGGAGGGTCAGATTATAATTTGGAAAAAAAAATGAACGAATTCCTATGCACACTGCACATATCTTATTTGTAGTGCAAAAAAACCCCACTTTAAAACAATACAGTAATTAAAATGAAGAACAGTTTTAACAAATATAAACTTAGTATTTCAATTGGAAGTGTGGACCTGCTTTTGGCTGATGAGATAGGATTGTTGTTGTTGTGTGCTTTCAAGTCGTTTCAGACTTAGGTTGACCCTCAGTAAGGGCCGGGTAAATGACCTTGGAGGGTCGTATCCAGCCCTTGGGCCTTAGTTTGAGGACCCTTGATCTAGGACATTAAGATCTTCTGGAGAGGCCCTGCTCTCAGTCCCGCCTTCCTCACAGATGCGTTCGGCGGGGACAAGAGACAGGGCTTTCTCAGTGGTGGCCCCTAGATTGTGAAACGTCCTGCCTAGGCATATAAGATCAGCCCCCTCCTTCCTGACTTTTCGAAGAAAGGTGAAAACTTGGCTTTTTGAGCAGGCCTTCCCAAATACGGCATAGTTACACGAAATCATGGAACCACTTGACATGGAGATGCTCACAATAATGTTTTTAAGGCTTTGTACGTTTTTTTATATTCTTATATTGCATGCTAATCTTTTTAACAGTATTTAATGATTGTTTTACTCATTTTAATTGTTGAGGCATCAAATTGTTGCCAATTGTGAACTGCTCCGAGTTGCCTCTGGGCTGAGAGGGGTGATATATAAATGTGGTAAATAAATAAATAATAAATCAGTCTCTTTGAATTCAGGCAGGGAACAGAGGAATAAAATAGCCCTTTTAAATAGTCTTTGAAATATGCCTCATGCCATAAAATGATCAGTCCTTAAGATAGTTGGCAGCCAGCACTTTCTCTTCACTGTTCAAAGTGAGAACAATGGCAGAAAGACAGCTAGAACCATTGGCCTTAGCAGCTAACCAAAGACATATCATGGCATCCTTTTTCAAATCTTCACACACTGTAAACATCGCACAACAGATTCATGTGAATGTCTAAAACAGCCACAAGGTGACATTCAGATACCTTTTACTTTTGCCCATTTTTTTCCGGAACCCTAACATTATGCACTTTATATTTAACTTGCTTAGGTACCCGACAATGCCCAGGTTAGGGATTCTGTAACGATAATTATTAGAATTTTAAAAGTGCCGAAACACAACTGACTAGATGGTAAATGAGAGGGAACCGCATCATTCCATGGGAATGTTTTATTTGTGCTCCTTTGTTTTTATTTCCTGTGCCCTGCAATGGTCTCTCGCTGATTCCTAACAAGCATGGCAATGTGCATCAGTGCATCTCAGTGGATTGAAAAAGAGAGAAAAAAACTTTCCTGGGTTTGGTTCCAATCTGCAATCAGCAGATACTGCGGTCACTGTCCCAGCCTTGAAATGGTTCCTGGGGAAATTGGTTATATGTTCCACAATAGAACCAGTTCAGTTTAATCCTAACTCAGTTTTAGCATTTGTGTATAACATTCCCCTGTTGCTTATTCTATTTGTTATCATAAGTAGGAAATAAATAATCTTTCTTTCCTACAGTTTGACATCAAGCAGATTGTAACACATTTGAGGCATCAGCGATGTGGCATGATCCAAACCAAGGTAAAGATACTGAGCTCAATCGTTCAAGATTTGTGGCCCTATCACACCACACTGTTATAGAGCTATAATTCCACTTAGATTGCCATAGGAGCATGGGAGCATTTTTGTGCCTGATGGGCAGACCAAGCAAAGCAAGGTAAAGTTCAGAAACTGATTTAAGTGTTGCTCAGGGACGTGATGTGTAGCATCAACCCAGCTCCTGAGCCAGATCAGGGGTGAATAGTGCACCACACTCCAAATCAGCATTGCTTTTTTTGCCCTGTTAAGATGCACCCCGGTGGTATAGCAGGTTAAACCACTACGCTGCAAAACTTGGTGACCGCAAGGCCAGTGGTTCGAATCTGTGGGATGGGGTGAGCTCCCACTGTTAGCTCCAGTTTCTGCCAACCCAGCAGTTCAAAAACATGCAAATGTGAGTAGATCAATGGGTACTGCTTCGGCAGGAAGGTAACAATGCTCCATCCACCACTCCTTCTCAACCTACCTGTTGCCGTGACCCTTTAATACAGTCCCTCATGTTGTGGTGACCCCCAACCATAAATTATTTTTGTGGCTACTTCGTAACTGCCAATTTTGCTACCGTTATGAATCATAATGTAAATATCTGATATGCAGGATGTTTTCATTCACTGGACCAAATTTGGCACAAATACCATATCCCAAATTTGAATACTGGTGGCTGGGGGGAATTGATTTTGTCATTTGGAGTTGTAGTTGCTGGGATTTATAGTTATACCATCAAAGAGCATTATGAACTCCACAAATGAAATTGAACACACACAGAACTCCCATGACCAACAGAAAATACTGGAAGGGTTTGGTGGGCATTGACTTGAGTTTGGGAGTTGTAGTTCACCTACATCCAGAGAGCACTGTGGACTCAAACATTGATGGATCTGGACCAAACTTGGCATGAATACTTAATATGCCCAAATGTGAACACTGGTGGAGTTTGGGGAAAATAGACTTGACATTTGGGAGTTGTAGTTGCTGGGATTTATAGTTCACCTACAATCAAAGAGCATTGAACCAAACGTGGCATACAGGACTCCCATAACTTCCCACACAGAACCGCCATGATCAACAGAAAATACTGTGTTTTCTGATGGTTTTTGGCAACCCCACTGACACCCCCTCATGACCCCCCCAAGTGTCCCGACCGCCAGGTTGAGAAACCCTGCCTTAGAGTCAGACTCGACTAGACTTAATGTCGAGGGAAACCCTTTACCTTTATCTAAGATACAACCCAGGAAGATAGGCTTGATATCTTGTCCAAGTTTTTCTCTGTGAAGGAATGTTAGCAATACATTTAGCCAAGGGTATAAACTACACTTCATGTGTGCAGAGGTGTGCTAATGCTTAGCCCTGTTTTAATAGAACAGTGAATCCCACTCATCTGTAACAGTATCATTAAAAAAGGATGTCCCCCTCCAAGGAATAGGTCCTATAGACATTGTGTCTGAAAGTGTAATTTCCAAGCAGAACAGAGTCCTATTACATTCACATTTTGCAAGCTAACTTTTATTTATAAGTAAGGACATATTAAAAACCCCATCTTTAGGGTTTATATTGAACATCCCTGCAGAATACCAGACTTTTCATTACATCCTGTTTTGAAAAATGGCCCAGAAGGACCTGAAATCATGGCAACAATGCTTCAGGAAAGCAGAATTTCAATTCCACTCGTTTAAAAAGCTGTAATTGGACTGTTCAAACTTTTCACAGCCTTTGTATGATAATTTAGAAAGCAAAATGGAGAAAGATGTTAAGTATTATCTAGCCTTGTCTTAAGACGCTTTACTTTTAGACTGTCATTGCCAAATTTTGTTCATAGCACTTCCTAGGAATTGTAAGGACATAAAGGAGCACAAATAGGAGGATAATGCACCACAACACTGGATTGGGCCCACATTATTAATTAGTATAGAAAGGTTCATACTATATCAGAGGTAGTAATCCTTGACGTTACTATAATAGTGCTAGTTCTATATATGTGTCCATTCCCATAGCTAGAATATTTCTACAACTGATTGTTTTACAGTGCCTGTAATCCTGTGATGAGGAATATAACCGTCTTTTTCCTTCTTCTTGCCCAGGAACAGTATGTGTTTTGTTATGAAATAGCTCTTCACGTCCTGAAGAACATTCAGAGCATGAGATCCTAACATCCACAGTAAAGAAAACACAACTTTTACATCTCCAGGCGACTCATCTTATTAACTGCAACTCATTCCATCAAGCTGTCCAAGGGACAATAGGAAGTGCTATATAAATAGAATTGTGCTATATTTTCTGTATCAATTTGATTTTTAAAGCACTATCTAGGCAAAGTAGGCAGAACAGTGGCAACATATGCAGGAAATTTAGATATAAAAATATGTGCTTGTAACTGAATTCACTTCTGCTAGCCTTTGTAATATTACTTTTTGCCCCAGAATTTATCAGAGATTAATAAGTATGCACAGCAGTTGAAAGAACATTGTTTTCATTCATGTGTGTTTAAGCTACTTGAAACTTTGCTGTTGCAGAAGAGGAGAGTTGTGAGATTGTATTTTGAATAGTTATGCTAACTTCCTAGATGAAAATGAATTTCTCGGAGCAACCTCCTATTGAGCAATTTTCATGCTGATGTTTTCATGAGGAAGTTCTGGGGCTCTCCCAGGTCTCCATTTGTGTAAGCCATGACCCAATTTTTAGAAGATTTACAATATTATATTAACTAGGATGTGTCAACACATGACCTTGGAGTCATCTTATCAACATCAGCCATATAATCAAAAGTGGAACCTGGATGTCCAAACGATGTATAAGGACTCCTGGTCCTTAATGTGTGGTTCAGCAAAGGCACCCAATGACAGCCAGGAGATGTCAGGAGCTCCCTCAATGGCGCAAACAACAGGTTAGGGAAGGGTGACAGTCCAATCAAGCTATACCAGTTTCAGCCAAACTGAACCAGTGGGGATCCACTACCATTGCCCTAAGTCAGATACAGAGCATGTGAATGCATTATTGCTCTGGATGGACCCCAGATTTTGTGGGACGTATAGATGAGTCCTCTGGTGGTCCACTGGTGGCACAGCAGGTTAAACTGCTGAGCTGCTGAACTTGCTGACTGAAAGGTTGGCGATTTGAATCCCAGGAGCCCCCACTGTTAGCCCCAGCTTCTGCCAACCTAGCAGTTTGAAAATATGCAAATGTGAGTAGATCAATAGGTACCGCTTCTGTGGGAAGGTAACAGTGCTCCATGCCGTCATGCTGGCCACATAGCCTTGGAGGTGTCTATGGACAACGCCGGCTCTTCGGCTTAGAAATGGAGATGAGCACCACCTCACAGAGTCGGACACAACTAGACTTAATGTCAAGGAGGAACCTTTACCTTTACTTTATAGATAAGTCCTTAATTTAAATGTTAGAAAAGAAATCTGGACTGCTTATCTTTGGTCTCTCCAACACTCATATATTGAGAAGACATTTGCAAGAATGAATTAGGAGGTGTGAAGAGAAACTTACAATATTTACCCCAGCTAGTCCAGTAAAATCAAGTTTTTTTAAAGGAAAGTGGGCTTGGATGAAGGTTGTTCTGAGGAGAAAAAAAACTCAACACACTTCCTTCTGGATCCCAATTTTTCTCTTCTATTCATGTTCTCTCTCAGGAAATGTAGGCTGGGACTCCACTATTTATGAAGAGAAAGACCTAGCCATATTAAAAAATGTTGAACATTATAGAAAGTTATTCATCCTCAAAATATAAACTGTCTTCACTTCTTCATACTATATGATGTATTTTATGGTTTTCATCCAACTGTGGCAGCAACAGGTACTTGATGAGGACTCAATTACTTCTTGGACAGGTTCTCCCAGCCAACTATTCCCAAGGGCAGCTTTCCTAACACCGCCCCGTCCCCCCCCCCCCCACATTTCCTACCAGTTCCCATCACGAGCAAAATCGTGATAGATTCTAATATTCCAAATCTGGGGGTCCAAAGTTGGGACTGGATTCCCCTCAAGAATAAATATTGTAACATCCTAATAAATGTATGCATTTGAACAGAAAGCTAAAAATACAGTTAACACTGAAATGGGAAATGTGGGCTTTTTCATAGGAATCTGATAAATTAGGAAAAAAGGAAATCCTGATAGGCCCTCACCCTGGCAGCCCTCAGTGACTACAGTTTTGGAGTGAATAAAATGTCCTCTATGTTCTTCTTAATTTATGTTACTGTTAATCAAATGTGACTGCAGAATGTCTTTTTCTTGGTTCCAGGATATACATGAATAGGATAGAAAATTAGCGTCTATGAAAACATAAGGTTCATCATGTTCCATCTCTTTTTAACTTATGTATCATGTTTTCAGATTTTTGAATGAAGAAATTAAAGTCTTTGAGCAAAGTGGCGTGATTCTCATTTCACTGTGAAATATTTAAGACTTTATTACATGAGGTAGGCAAATTGGCATTGGGACTGTCGTTATCACATAATGCCATGTGCATCCCACTGCTGGTCTACTTTCTCCCCAACCTTCTGATCTTTCCATCAAAGCAATTTACATTCCTGTTGCCTGCCTCGATGTAATGGATGATGGATGCCTTCTGCCTCTGTAGTGGCTTGCAGGCAGTGACGTGACATCAGTGGACAGGATTCTACTCCTTTCATCCTCTCCCCTAACTGCCCCCACACTATTGCCAAGCTGGCTGTTTTCATTCTTATATATATATATATATATATATATATATATATATATATATATATGAAAGAAAAGAAAGAAAGAAAGAAAAGAAAGAAAGAAAGAAAGAAGAAGGAAAGAAGAAAGAAAAAAGGGAAAGAAGGAGCGAAAGAAAGAAGGAGAGAAAGAGGGGGGGGGAAGGTTGGCCACAGCAACACGTGGTAGGTACAGCATATATAGAAGAAACTGCAAGTAGCTTCTGGTGTGAGAGAATTGGCCATCTGCAAAAATATTGCCCAGGGGATACCCAGATGATTTGATGTTTTACCATCCTTATGGGAGGCTTCTCTCTTATGGGGAGCTGGAGTTGACAGAGGGAGCTCATCCACGCTTTCCCTGTATTCAAATCGCTGACCAGCAGTTCCGCCAGCACAAGAGTTTAACCCATTGCACCATCGAGGGCTGTACCATTGACTTTAAGGGGTGCAGATGTGTACCATTTGATATATCATTTACCATTAAAGCTTGTGCTTTAGCAGTAACATGTCAGGGATTGGAACTGAAAGAACCTGGAAAGAAGCCTGATATTACATGACTAGTTTAGTCAGATGTTTTACTACGTTCATTTTCACTCTCATCACACACCTCCATGAGCCCTAATATAATCTGGGACATAAAACCATAAACCTTATCTGAGACTAGTGACAAAAATATAATTTTAATGGTCAGTAATTTGTTCTTTTGCTGGGTTGTGTGAAAGATTTCTCTTTCATTCTTCTCCAAGATGATTTGGTTTCCTTTTAAAAGCTACTTGTACATTTCACTTAGATTTTATAATTGAAGGTTTGATAGAAACAGTATTTAGAAGTAAGTTTTGATAAGACCTCTGTCCATTAAATACAACAGGATAGGCAGTGATGGTTGGGAAAAATGGACTGGGTAACCATGAAAAAATGATCTGATATTTATCTGTCTTCACCTGTTTTTATTTGTCAGTCTCAATAGGATTCCCACTTATATATGCCAAATTATTTTTATTATTTGACACAACATTCATTTTTTTCTGATTTCCAATATTGTATCTTTTTACTTCTCTTTCTTGAAATAAATTTTTATAGATGTTGGTGCTTTTTGTTTCAATCATGAATAAGTTTACAACCTATTCTAGTCACATATTTACATAGGTCTCTAAAAAGTATTGTGGTCCCTAAAGGGATGTCACGTAGAAAGTGAGCTTGTTCACGGCTGTTCCAGAGATTAGAAGACAAACCATATACAGGCAGTCCCTGAATTACAAACATTGAACTTACAAACAATTTATAGTTAAGAATGGGGGTGAGACAACAGAAAGTGAGAGAAATCTACCCCTTGGAAGGGAAATTCACTCTTGAAAGAGTTATCATGGGGAAAAGGTGTCTCAACTGAAGCTTTCTCACCAATCCTTGTCTCCAAAACAAGCCAATTTTTTCAAAATCGAATTATTACAGGGACAGAAAGTGAAGTGAAATCTTCTGAATTGGGGAACAAACAACAAAACAAACACCACAGGGGTGTTCACCTTTCCCAAGGCTGTTCAAAGCTGTTCAAGGCTGGAGTTACACTTTAAAAAGTACTGTTTCTGACTTACACATAAATTCAACTTAAGAACAAACCTACAGAACTTATCTTGTTCATAACTGGGGATTGCCTATACAAGAAATAATAATCCACCCTAAACATTAGGGAGAACCTTTTAATGGTAATATTTTGATGGTAAGAATTCAGTTGTAGATTAAATTGTCTCAGAGGGTGATGGATCTTTAGAGGTCTTTAAACAGACATGGGATGTCAATCTCTCAAAACTGGATAATTGTGTATACCTTTATGGAAGGATGTTGGACTGTATGGCCTTTATGGTTCTGTCCAACAATGATTCCAGGATTTTCTCTAATACTGGAAATGAAGAGATTGATGTTCTTTGTGTGTGGGTATCTTTGCATAGCACTGTTTCAGTTGGTAGGTCAGAATGTTTTCAAAGACATAAGAATATTTGCAATGTTCTGTCCTTAGGTCCTGCCATGCTCCCTAATGTCCCGCAATTTACCTTTGCTATGTATAACACCAGTGGCTACTATATCTATCCAAACTTACTTTCTGTAATTCAATATCTTACAATATATATCAGCTACCCAGTTATAATGCTTAACAATTATGTTCCTGAGTTTCTCAGACATTACTATTTAGTATGGACTTTTCCATATAGTTTGTTACAGAACTTTTTGGGATCCAAAAGAATAGCATTTTAATTACATACATAGGAAAATACATAAATCAGGAAAGAATCAGGGGCATATGTTAGCAAGGCGAGATATAGGTGGCTATATGCTACATGGATTTGGTCAAGATATTTGCATCACTACAGAAAATGTTAACAGGTAAGTAGAAAATTATATAAGCAACTTGAAGTCTTCAGACAACTGTCTTCAATTATTTCTCACTAATTCTACATGAATTGTTTTGTTTTTTTTAATGTATATGCCTTGTCTTAAATTTTTACTGGGTTCTGTCATGTTATTGTCAGCTGCTTTGAATCCCTATGGGGAAAAGGTAGGATAGAAATAAAGATCATCATCATACTTATCCTAATCCTACCTATGCATAGGAGTGGAGGGTTTGGGGGTTTGGGACTATGAAAGAAAAGCTACAATTTATGGAGTGGATCATGATCCTTTTTCTTTTCCGTGTTTTCTACCTTTAGAGGTGCTACATAAAAACTCTTGCTGTAGATTTTCAAGGGGATGGGGAGCTCACTTCCTAATGAAAATAAAGGGGTATTTATTTGATATATTTCTTTCTTAATTCCTGTTTTGTACTCATTACTTCCATGAATATTTTTCCCTTCTTGCCCCAAACTAGTGAAGATGTGCATTGAGCATTTCTTTTGCTTTGATGAGTGCCACCTCAGTGGAAACTTCCATGTGAGGACTCACTCCCACACCTTCCCAGCTGTCATTAACAGAAAAGACAGATCTCGACACAGGGGTTGTGATATAGAGGTTAGTGCCATCCACATGAAATGTCTGAGGTGGGTGGCAACCCCCACTGGTCTTCTGTCCAATGATGAAGGCTCTACCCAGTCTCTTCATGATGTATACAAATTCTTCAGCAGCACCAGAAGTCACAGAGCTGGTGAGGATTACCAAGCCTTTATTGAAGCCATATCTTGTACCTTCAAACACAAAGCAAAATTGAGCAAGTCAGAAAGTTTCCTTTCACCCTGGAGTCAGAAAATAGGCGTACAAGAATAGGGATGACCAGATTCCAGGCATGTAAACAAACCTAAATCCTCCAATTACATATTGTGAGTTGGGACCTCATCACTTTAGACAATTTTCCCATTTCTAGATGCTGTTAAATTGAAGTGCCTAGGTTGGCATCACATGACGCCAGCCTACGTCCGGTGGTAGCTCAATGGTCCTTGGAGCTTTTGTTTAAAAACACTTGCATTATTTGGAGCTGGCAACCTACCAGCTCCAGCTGTATGTACATGCCTAGATGTGGGGGAAATCATGGATCTTCCCATGTGATGGTAACGGGTCATTTTTGCCATGCCAAATCGTTTTATGAAGTCCTCTTCATAAAGGACTTTACCTCTGAGCAAAAAGTAGGTGATTACAATTATTAACCATAAATCTTCTCTCACCGCCATTACTCCCTCACCCACCCACCCCCCCTTCTTAAAAGAAATGTTCTGCATTATGATATCTGGACTCCCCCTCTCATTTTGATTAACCAATGCAAGTTCCAAAGTAATTAAGTAATAACTTCAAGGTAGTCAGGCAGCCTGAACACCACACACTGACACAATCTCATCCTTATTTAGTTCTCTGCCCTACACTCCTGTTTTCACACAGTGGGTATGTCTTTTAGGGAAGAAAACAGTGGGGGAAGCAGGATGGGTGGCGACTCCACCAATGCGTGTGGAATTAAATGAAGTGGGTGAATCCGGATAAGAAGAACAAATATGATGGCAGAGAATTAATTCTCCGTTTTATTTAAACATGGGCTAACACTAATGACAAGTGTAGGGGCCGGGCTTAGCACAGCGGGTTAAACTCCTAAACTGCAGAAAATCTTGCTGATTGAAAGTTTGGTAGCTCAAGCCCGGGTCAGGGTGAGCACCTGCCATCAGCCCCAGCTTCTGCTCATATAGCAAGTCAAAAACAGAAATGTGGGTAGATAAATAGATACTGCTTTAAAGCAGGGAGGTAATAAAAGGCACCCATAAGGACATGCTAGCAATTTGATTGGGAGGACATCTATGGATGCCCCTCATGGTTGGAGTTGAGCACAGTCCCCAGATAATGGCATTGAATGTTTGCCATATATGTGTTCTGTTATTTTTATTTTTATATTATTATTATTATTATTATTATTATTATTATTATTATTATTACCACTAAAGTCCAGATCAACCCAAATCAACCTGCATTATTTGTCTAATATGATGAGACCCTTAGACTGAGATTTGGTTATACATGTAAGTGGCTCCACTGAATTAAATCAAATATGCATTAGTGACTGCCTTATATCACATTAATATAAATATATGTACTCTAAGTAATAAGTTTGGATTTTATCCGATGTCTTAATATTAAAATGCACTGTATTTTCCAGTGTTCCAGTGTGCCTTTCCAGAATAAGGAAACTCCTAGCATTATGTCCCAACGTACTTTATCAGAGACCCAGGATATCTGCATGCCCATCCCCCTCCAAACACCCCACCTTGTCATGCCCAACACTTTTAATTTTAATTATTACATTTGGCCCGGCCATTGTTTTGTATGTTGTCTTATTGATAATGTTATATGTTTATTGTCTATGTTTTTTTTAATTGCTTGTATTGTTGTGATTATTGCTTGTATTGTTGTGTTTGGGCTCGGCCTCATGTAAGCCGCACCAAGTCCCTTGGGGAGATGGTAGCGGGGTACAAAAAAGGATTATTATTATTATTATTATTATTTTCCCCTTTTTCTTCCCAATAATAATCTTGTGAAGCTAGCCTTCATCCATTCTACTGACAGGTAATGAAAGCTGAAAAGCAATGCTTAATTTTTAAAAGCCTTGTGAAATGGCTTGGGTGGACCCTGCCCTTTAAATTTTCAGGCAAGTGCCTGCCAGTAGAATAGTAAAACAGAAGCAGAAGCAGAAAGAGTGATTGTTCTCAAGAACTCTACCGTTAATTCAGGCCCCTTTTACACTGTCACATAACATCCAGATGATCTATTTTGAACTGGATTATATGGCAGTGTAGACTCCTATAATCCAGTTCAAATTAGATAATGTGGATTAACTGCTTTGATAATTTGGATTACATGGCAGTGCAAATCTGTTAATACAGACCTCAGTCCCCAGGCAAGTTTATAGGAAGCAGTGTATTTCTTAAATAATTGAGGTCTCAAGCCGTTTAAGGTATTCAGTGTCTCCATGAGCATCTTGAATTAAGACTAAAGTGAATAGTTGAGCTAGATAAGATTATGTGCATAAACTGTTATTATCACATGATTCTTGGCATTCCGCCGCGCCGCATTATCTCTTGCAAATAATGAGCTAATGTGCTATTTTTAGTTTATCCAAGGAAAAATATACTACAACATAACTTTTATTACCTGTAAGCTTTGAGACGGTCCAAATATTACTGGTGGTATCATTTGGTCTGTTGTATACTTTGTCCAAAAGAATTGGATGTCCTTCGTCAAAGAAGTAGGAGCACAATAGTGGTACAGAACATGAAGGCCCCCCTATATTGTATCTATCCAAAGGTTGAGGAAAGAGGGGAGAAATCACATTATAGTCAAACTAAGGAAAAAGCAAACATATATTCTAAAGTGTGCTGAGGAGGCATGAATTAACTATGTCTCTATGTTCAGTGAAGGGGACAAAGCTTTGGGGAAGGGGTACTGCAGGTAGCGAGAAGGGTAACATAGATTTCAAATAGATAGAAGATTGGGAGCAGAAATAATAAGCCTGATTCTGATTGTACATGTTTTCAAATATTCACTGATACTGTGATTCTATTAATGTGGAAATTGTTCAGAATTGATTGTGCGTGAATTCAAATCACTTCACTAAACTTTAGATCAGTGTTTCTCAACCTGTGGGTCCCCAGGTATTTTGGCCTACAACTAACAGAAATCCCGGCCAGTTAACCAGCTGTTAAGATTTCTGGGAGCTGAAGGCCAAAACATCTGGGGACCCACAGGTTGAAAACCACTGCTTTAGATAGAACATTTGGCTTTCCTCCTCCTTAAAATGTACATCCATTGATCAATGGAATCATAGAATCTGAGAGTTAAATGGGGTAGTTAGGGCCAAATAGTCCAGTGTCTTCCATGCAGCTTCAGATGCAGCTACAAATTTCCTGAAAGATGCCCATCAGTACAATGTGGATTTTATACAGCTGAGTGGAAGGGGCCAGAAAGAAGGAAAACTAGCGTAACAAAGAAGCCACTTGGAAAGCAATTCTCACATTCTTGTAATTGGGTTGTTGTAGGTTTTTCGGGCTGTATGACTATGTTCTAAAACAGTGTTTCTCAACCTGGGGGTCGACCCCTGGGGGGGTCATGAGAGGGGTGTCAGAGGGGTCGCCAAAGACCATCAGAAAACACAGGATTTTCTTTTGGTCATAGGGGTGTGGGAAGTTTGTCCCAGTTCTATCATTGGTGGGGTTCAGAATGCTCTTTGATTGTAGGTGAACTATAAATCCGAGCAACTGCAACATCCAAATGTCAAGGTCTATTTTCCCCAAACTCCACCAGTGTTCATATTTGGGCATATTGAGTATTCGTGCCACGTTTGGTCTAGATCCATCATTGTTTGAGTCCACAGTGCTCTCTGGATGTAGGTGAACTACAACTCCAAAACTCAAGGTCAATGCCCACCAAACCCATCCTGTATTTTCTGTTGGTCATGGGGGTCCTGTGTGGGAAGTTTGGTTCAATTCCATCATTGGTGGAGTTCAGAATGCTCTTTGATTGTAGGTGAACTATAAATCCCAGCAACTACCGCTCCCAAATGACAAAATCAACCCATCCCCACCCCACCAGTATTCAAATTTGGGTGTATTGGGTATTTCTGCCAAATTTGGTCCAGTGAATGAAAATACATCCTGCATATCAAATATTCACATTAAGATTCCACAACAGTAGCAAAATTACAGTTATGAAGTAGCAACAAAAATAATTTTACAGCTGGGGGTCACCACAACATGAAGAACTGTATTAAGGGGTCACAGCATTAGGAAGGTTGAGAACCACTGTTCTAAAAGCATTCTCTCCTGACGTTTTGCCTGCATCTATAGCAGGCATCCTCAGAGATTGTGAGGTCCTCTGACGTTTCGCCTGCCACAGATGCCAGACGAAACATCAGGAGAGAATGCTTTTAGAACATGGCCATACAGCCTGAAAAATCTAAAACAATCCAGTGATTTTAGCCATGAAAACCCTCGACAATACATTCTTGTAACTGACATCAAATTATGGCACACATGGAAGTGGCTACTTTGTATGCTTCATGAGATGTTGGGTGCAAGCCACTTATACAAAGCTTTACCTAAGATACACAATAAAAGGACAAATTCTGAAGCATCATAATCACATTTTAATTGAAAAGTAGAGTAAGGAAGAAAACTGGGAAGCTGGGAAGAAATAATGGTAGTAATTAAAATGAGGACGAGCTAATAGATTTTGGACAATTGATGAAAATCCCAATTGGTGTCCCCCAAGTGGTAACAGATGCTGATAGGAGGCCAGTCATAAACTTAACATCTAAGGATAGAAACAAGAGGAATATGCTAGACCACTTCCTTGGGCACGTTCTCTCATTAAATTAAAAGATCTTGGGCCTTCCTATCATGTACAAAATAAGTTGCAGCCAAGTTATAATACAAAGACTATATGCACCCACATTTGGTAGGAAAGAAGAACTTAGCAATTCCTCTTGTTCTAAAGCTGGCAACCCTCCCTCACCCCCCCCAAACACACCAGAAAGGAAATAGAAATTCCAGAGGATGAAATACTCTGGTTTGAGAAGCCCCTCTTAAAATGCAATATGGCTACTTTTCTGTCATTTGTAAACTTTTCCCCTTTGTTTCCCCTTTTTGTCTGAGAAATGTTTATGTGACCCCAGGAATCTAGATGTATAAAATATCTCTTCTTCCTTTCCTCAGCTGTCTCCTCAGCTATCTCCCTTTTTTGCTCCTTCCGCTTCGCCCATACATTTCTCTCCTCCTTTTTCTCAACCAGCACCCCCTTCCACCTCCACTCATACATGTCTCCTTTTCTTCAACCGTCACCTCTTCCTCCTCCTCCACTTTTACACTCAACCAGGCCCGTAGCCAGGATTTCGATTCGGGGGGGCTGAGTTTTTTTCAGGGGGGTTTCGGGGGGGGTGAGTTTCGGGGGGGGCTGAGTCTGAGTGAAAGAGGTCTACCCTAGCAAACCTTTTGTATCATTACCCCAATACCCCCATGCATATGGGATATATTGAGTATGGTGATCAGATCATGATATGAATAAACATAACAGTTTAAATAATGCACCAGTAAGGCCTTTTCTCGAACCACCATGAGAATTGGGGGGGGGGCTGAAGGCCCCTCACCCCCCCCCCCCCCCGGCTACATGCCTGCACTCAACCCACCACATGGCTAGCTGCCTCATCCCAGCTGCTTTCCTTCATCTCAGCAGCTTAGGCTTGGCTTCTCCTCCTCTTTCAGCAGCAGCTGCAGTAGCAGCAGCACCTACTACTTTGCCCTGCCCTGCAGAAGTTTGGGGTATATGGGTGGGTAAGTAAGTCAGTCTCTTCCTTGGGAGGAAGGACTGGAGAAAGTGCCACCAATGTCACACGTTACAGCCTTGCAGTTGTTGCTGTGACTCTTCCAATCTTGTGGCCAAAAGTGTTTGCACCTGCACCATTCACTTATGCAAACCCATTTGGGTCATGACCCCAAGTATAAGAAGCTTTGGTTTGAAGGGAGTTTATCCAGCCTCATAGTCATTATTACATATTCTCATGCATAAGTCTAATGTATAAGCTCATGTATAAGTCTAGAACTTCAGTCAAAAAAATCAACCCCTAAAACCTGGGTCAAAATATCCATGGGTGAGTACTGAACTTTAATTCTAACAAAAAAGGAACCACACTCTTCTCAGAATAGAATGGTGAAAAACAAGAGCTTAACCCATGCCAGGGGAACCTAAAAGAAGCACTAATCCCCTCTATACACAGCTTCTGATATTTTTGAATTCTCGGGTAGAGAAATGGCAATGGAAATGGCTGGCCTCGAGGCAGCTTTCGCCTCTCTTTGGAATGATCCTCAACCTCTCTATGCATCATATTAAGATCCATAATTTTGGACTCAAAATTTGCCCTTGACTTATACTTGAGGTTGACTTATACATGAGTATGTATGGTAGTTGCATACACAGGAAAGCCCTAGATAAGTTAAACTTTTCAGATAACTTTAAATATACGGATTCCATTTTGAAAATACAATTGCTTTCACACTGTTCCCGATCAATGTGTTTGTCTCATTTTTGGTCCAGTACTCACCTCATATCTATGATTAATGCATCAGTGTTGACAATTTTATTCCACACATGTTCTACTAGCAACTCAGAGACTTGGGACAAAAGGTCACAGTATCCAAACATGTCAAATCGCAGGTAGCCAATATTATTTTCAAACACCTTGGTTTGCAAAGAAAACTTAATGAGTTCTTCTAACATTTCTGGTGAAGGGACCTGAAACAGTTTGAAAAAACAGCCATGAACTTCCAAGAGCAACAATCCAGTATATGTTGATATTACTGGTCTTACTAAAACAAAACTGGCATGGTTACAGTAAAATGTTGGACCATCAACTAGAAAGACTTGGGTTTACATCCCACAAACCTCATATTCGGTGACCTTGGATTAGGCCCTGTTTTTCCAGTACTGTATAACGTTGGTGGAAGAATGATATGGAAACAGATAGATCAATAAATGAAAAGAAAAGCACAGTTTCTTTGTGCTTAGTACCAACTAAATTCTGCACTCATCAGAAATTGTTAACAAATTTATGGCTTCATCTGAACTACTGTGTTCAGTTCTGAGCATCTTGCATTTGGAAGGCTATAGATAGACAGTTGGGGCAGGTTCATATTGGGGCAACTCAGAATAACTGATATGGAGAACAAAATGTTTGAAGAAAAGTTGAATGGGCATTTTAAGCCTGATGAAAAGGTGGAGAACATAACTGCACTTCTTACATATCTAAAAGACTGTCATAAAAAGGAGGGTCAAAGGTTTGTTTTCTGCTACCCTTTTTAGTTTATTTAATAGATGGTGGATTTCAGTTGAACATTAGAACAGATTTCTTGACATTAAGAGCAGTCAGACAAAGGAACCAGTTGGCTAGAGTGGTGGGATCTCTTTCACTGGGTGCATTTAAAAGGAGACTAAGAGGCTCTAGCTCAGTGGTTTCTAACCTTTTCTTTGACCGGGGCCACTTGAACAGGAACCACTTGGACCAGGGACTACTTTTGTACCAAAAGGATTACAAATCAGTTTTTGGTCAACTTTAGATTCAATTTGGTTATTTGGGGTGCTAATTCAGAAAATTGCATTGGATAGACTACATCAGCTCTAGTTTCTAATACAAGCCATATGCCATTTAGTAGTCGCCATCTGCTCGCCCACAGAAATTTAATAACTTAGAGCTGATGTGGTCTATCCAATGTAATTTTCTGAATCAGCACCCTAAATAACCTAAAAACGAAGACACCAAGGCGCCCCTGCTTCCTGGTGCCACATGGAACGGCTCTACTCAGGAGGAGGGGAGAGAAGAAGCAGTAATCAAGAGGCTTGTTGTTGCACCTTTCGTGGAGAGTCAGTCTCCCCCCTCCTGGCATCACTGTTGCTTGGCAATATAAGAGGGTTTTACTTGTTTCAACAGTGTAATAAAGGTGAGGCCGTGGACCGTATTTTAGTTCTTGGAGACCACTGGTGGTCCGCAGACCACAGGTTGAGAACCACTGCTCTAGCTGGATTTCCTGCATTGTGTATGGGATTGATCCAATGTCCCATGGAGCTCCTTCCAACTCTATGATTCTGTGTTTCTTTTAAATTTAAAAAGTGGTTTTTAAAATGTTGAATTGGAACTATTTTAACTTTCTAAATATTTATTTCACAACAAACAGGTTTAAGAAAAGTGGCCTGCCTTTTGGTGCTGGTGTGTGTGTGTGGGTGGGGTGGGGGTGGGGGGGATCTGGATTTCAAACTCCCATTTTAAGACTGCAGTAATTAAACTGATTTGCAATCTTTTGTCATCTATACTGTCATTGCAAACATTTATACATTTATCTAGGAATTAATGTTATTTAACATATTGTAAACTATGAGCAGACATGCGTGGGATTAGACTGTAATTCAAAATGACCTTTCTGTGTAGATGAATGAATCATAGGATAGAGATCAAAAGAATATTCAAAATATTTGAAAATGGGTTTTAAATGTTTTTTTTAAATGTTGAAAGTCCTCACAAGAAGAATCCTGAATTGATAAGGATTATTGCATTTCAGAGCTTATTCTGTGCAAAATTTGTAAGTGGTGTTTTTGTGTCAAAAAATAGTATTCTCTGCACAGGAACCAGGGTTTTCTGTATCGAAATTATTACACTGCAGACATACTAATTCCTGCATGGAAAATGCTGTTTTCTGCACTTGAAATCCAGTAATTGAGAATTTAGTCTATGTAAAACTCAAAAACAGTAGTTTGCATACAAAAGTACATTTTCTGAACAGGAAATGTTCTGCATATATTACTCCATAGAAATATTATTTTCCACATGGAAAATGTTTCTTGTACAGAAAATGTTATTTTCTACACACACACACACACACACACAAAGGGGAAATGCTGCACAGAAGAAATTCCAAATTACAAAATACTCTTCAAAAACTGTGGTTTTTAAAAGACAACAGTAGTAGTAGGGGGAAACACAAGTCAATATCCTTCCTGAATGGTAGTGCTCAGAACTGAACACAGATGAATCCTGGGCAAAGCAGAATTTGGGATGTTTCAAAAAGATGGATTTGATTTGAAATTTCTATTTATTTGCCACCATAAGCCAGTTATGGATTAAACCCTTACCATTTGAAAAGATGGGGCATGGAGCTTCAAGTGATTACTTCTATCTGGGTTGCTATGAGATTTCTGGGCTGTATGGCCATTTCCAGAAGCATTCTCTCCTGACGTTTTGCCTGCATCTATGACAGGCATCCTCAGAAGCTGTGAGGTCTGTTGGAAACTAGGCAAGTGGGGTTTATATATCTGTGGAATGTCCAGGGTGGGAGAAAGAACTCTTGTCTTTTTGAGGCAAGATGCAGGCTAAATGTCAGGAGAGAATGCTTCTGGAACATGGCTATGCAGCCCAGAAAACTAACAGCAACCCAGTGATTACGGCTATGCAAGCCTTTGACAACACATACTTCTATGTGTCTCTCCCAGTGCACAAAGAACCCCTGCCTTCATTCTTCATTTGCAGAGGTATTTTTTAGAGTAGAGTAGACTCAATAAATAAAAGTAGCTTTAATATTGCTTTACCCAACCCCCACTGATTCAGTGGATGCACTGTAGTTGGGCTTAAACATTGGATTTCCCCTCTGAGAACTGCAAAAGCAAGAGAGAAAGAAGGGTCTAGTTTCACTCTTGATCTCTGTGACAGGATTTAGGTCCTTTATGTAACCTTTCCTTTATTTTCTTGGAGAACTTCCCCTAAATAAGGACCAGTATAGCCTTTTTAGAGTCTTCTAAAGCTCTAATAGACATATGACAGGGAGAACATTTTAATATTTTCTGACATGAGAATTGCATACAGTACATGCACATTATGTACAGTAATCTGAATAGACATTCTCAGAGAAAGAGATATCAGTCATCTCCCTCTCTCTGTTAATTTGGTGTTGTTTTCCCATCACTGCTCTCTACAGCCTAACACTATACAAGAGACATGAAACTGTGTGATATTGTTCACTATATTTGCAGTAGCCTTCACAGTTTCAAATCTGGAAGTCTTTCCTAGCTATATTGGAAGATGCTAAAGATTGAACCTGGCTAGAAGCATGCTGCAGAAGCCTAAATTAGACAAGGCTGCTACTGAAGTTAAAAAATAAATAAAGGAAAGGTAAAGGTTTACCCCTGACATTAAGTCTAGTCAGGTCCAACTCTGGGGGTTGCTGTTCATCTCCATTTCTAAGCTGAAGAGCCAGGCATTGTCCGTAGACACCTCCTAGGTCATGTGGCCAGCATGACTGCATGGAGTGTTGTTACTTTACCACTGGAGCGGTATCTTTTTATCAACTCACATTTGTATGTTTTCAAACTGCTAGGTTGGCAGAAGCTGGAACTAACAGCGGGAGCTCACCCTGCTCCCCAGATTTGAAACATCAGCTTTTTGCTCAGCAAGTTCAGCAGTTCAGTGGTTTAACCCACTGCACTACTGGGAGCTCCTAAAAATTAAATAGCAGCTGCTTTATTCCTAGTGTAGTGATACCTTTCACCATGGATTTTGTGCTCAGGACAGGATGTATAGCTTTATTTCCAGTGCAAATAGTAACTTCATGAAGTTTGTCAGAAACATAGGAGTGGAAAGGTTTACATATTCCTGCTATGGTTTTCTGCTGATTTGGCAAATTGCTGTCTACATTTTCCGTTTTTTAAAAAAACCAATACAATTATCAAAGGCAATCCCCTCTGAACAAATCTTGCCAAGGAAATCCCATGATAGGGTTGCCATAAATCATAAATGATTTGAAGGTACACAATAACATTAATGCAATAGATCAGGGGTCCTCAAACTTTTTAAACAGAAGGCCAGGTCACAGTCCCTCAAACTGTTGGAGGGCAGGATTATAATTTGGAAAAAAAACCATGAATGAATTCCTGTGCACACTGCAGATATCTTATTTCTAGTGCAAAAAACATTTAAATGCAATACAATAATTAAAATGAAGAACAATTTTAACAAATATAAACTTATTAGTATTTCAATGGGAAGTGTGGGCCTGCTTTTGGCTGATGAGATAGGATTGTTGTTGTTGTCGTCTGCTTTCAAGTCATTTCAGACTTAGATTGACCCTGAGTGAGGGCAGGGTAAATGACCTTGGAGGGCTGTATCCGGCCCCTGGGCCTTAGTTTGAGGACCCCTGCAATAGATCTTAGATGCACAAATCCTATTTGTACAACTTATGCAGGACATAAGCTTATGTATACTTGACCTTTTTCCTGATTAGGGGATATGGAGCTCTCTACTCCTATTTCACAACTCGTCCCGAAAATAACTAGTAAGTTAGACTAGTAAAAACGTACCTGCATGGGCACAATTCCTGGGATTCGACCCTTTGAATGTTCAGGAATATGGGCTATCATCAGATGCCTATCTCCAGAAAGAGCTTTTAGATCTGCCGCTATTTTCCCAGAAAGTTCAATTTCGCTGTTGATCTTTCGGTAAGTCTCTTTGTTGGCGTAGTCAGCAAATTTGGCTGCCACTGTAGCCCCAATATCAGCAAAGGCATAGTTGTCAGCCACCAGTTTTCCAACTGCGTTTAAGACACTAGGTATTTTGGTGCGAAAGAGAATAATGTTCTGGGCTGAGGCCAGGGCTTCATTAGCCTGGGTAGTCACATGTGGCTGTACCCCAGACAAGCTCCACACTTTTCCAGAGACTGGACTAAGAACAATCTGGCTGGGAATGGAAGTATACAATGGAGTGCTGCCCATGTTGTAAATATTTGCAGAGAGTGAGCCACCCACAGTAGGTTCCCCAATTACTGTGGCGCGATGCAGGTCCTTCAAAGAGCGAGTAAAGGCTTCAGCAGCTGACCCACTAGCATGGCTGATTAGAATATAAAGATCTTTAGTTGAGCCATAACGTTTGCCAGATACTTGGGATGAAGTCCACACTTCAGTACTCTGAGAGGTGCTACGGTCAATGATTGTGTAAAGGTGCTGTTGAGGTTCAGCATCAAAAAAATAGGAGCAAAAGATGGGCACGGCAGTAGAGTAACTGCCAGTATTGTAGCGCATGTCAACAATCATAGCTTGAGTTTCGACTAGTTTTTCCCAAACCATGTTAAGTATTTGTGGTTCAATGGTCTTCACAGACTCTGCCTCGGCCATCATGTCAAAGCGTAAATATCCCACATTGCCTGGTAACACATCCACCTTGAAGAGAGCTTCAATTATAAAATTCAGCTCCTCGGGAGTGAGTGTCTTGTAAGGGGACTGTTCCTCTAAAGAAGGCTCAACATGACTGTGAAAGACATGCAGCTGGTGATCCCCAGAGGTTTCCTGAAGGTCATTCGTCAGCTGAGAGGCAAGTGTCTCAAAATCCACGGCTGTACGATACCCACCTTGGGCCAGTTTGGAATTCAGCGCGCTACTGACCCGTCTAGCCATTTCAGGGATAGCATAGTGAGCTTCAAGCAATTGTCCAACTCTTTCAATAAGTGACCCCATGCCCTTATGGAACTCCAGCACTTCTCTTGCCTTCTCTAGAGCCTCATCGGCTAGTACAATTGAATCAGGTACCACCCCACCTCCAAGCCAGGTCTCCCCATTGTTGTCAATGAGAGTAATGACAGGCACATTAATAAGGAGGCCACAACCCCCTCCTAATTCTAAAATGCAGAACGTGTGTGTGTGTGTTAAGCTACCAGCAGTAATCTCACCAACCAGGGTGGCACGGCCAAGGGACTGCATAAGGTATGCAAATTCTTCGGCTGCTGTCGCTGTGTTGTGGCTTGTGAGTAAGTAGACACCACGCCGTGCCCCATAGGGCTTGCCTAACATTTCAGCGTTACTGCTATAAACCTGGGTCTGGTTTGTGTGCCTGTTGTAGGTGGTAAAAAAGTGCACAGGGCCAGCAGAGGGCTCTTGGAAGTAGGACAGCAAGATTGGCACAGCAGTTGATGACGGGCCACCAATGTTGTAGCGCAGATCTATGATCAAATTATCAGTTGCTTGCAGTGGCTCCCAGACGTGCTGCAGGAGGTATGGTCCTAACTTTACCAGTACTGTAGCATCAGCAAACTCATCAAAGCGCATGTAACCCACGTTGCCTGGTAGTACAGACACCTTGAATACAGTCATTACTAGGGCTTTCATGAGCTGTTCATTGTTAGGCAAATCAGTTGCCATTGCAACCTGTGCATCAGTTTGTGCACTTACAACTTCATCTGAGGCAGGGACTCGTATTAAGAGACGTGGGTCTTCAGATATGGTCTGTAGTTCAGCATTGAGTTTGGAGGCCAGGTCCTTTACTGATAAGACAGAAGAAGAGTCAAAAGTGGAGAGGTGTTGCAGCAATACGGGGACTTGTTCTAACATGGAGTAATTGTTCTTTATAACACCCATCAAATAGCTCATACTGCTAGGAATAGCTTTGCGTAGCGATAGAATGGCCAGAGCTTTATCCAGAGCTTGTTCTGCTGGGATGACTACACATGGCATTACCCCACTGATTTCCCAGCTTTGCCCACTGCCACTTAAGGGGCTCACAGAACATGATAGAGGTACTGTCATATAAAATTGGGAACTGCCAATCTGCATTTTCTGGGTATCCAAGGAGCCTCCTGCTGATTTTTCTCCCACTATTATTGCCCTATGCATTTGTTTGAGGATGTAGGCCACATCTTCAGCCACACCAATAGTGTGTTTGCTTATCAGCAAAATTACGTCCTTGTCTTTGCTGTACCTCACACCCAGGACTTTTGGCAAAGTCAAGATTTCCACAGTAGTATTAGAAGGCCGATTGTAAACAGTATCCACATGCAGCACCTTGTCCCCATTGTACAAATAAGAAATAATGAAAGGAATGCCTGAAACATGACCTCCAGTAGTGTAACGCAGATCTAATATTAGAGCAGATGTCCCCAATAAGCTCTTCCATACCTTTTCTACTAGGAAAGAACCAATCTTCTGCACAATTTCCTGGCCCATTATGTAGTCAATCCTTAGGTAACCCACATTGTCATCCAGCACTTCATACTTCACTGTATGTTGGATAAGACTTAAGAGTTGCTCTGATGTTAGAGAAGTCTCAATTCTTTCCTTGGGAGCAGCGGAAGCTGTGGGTTCATAAGAGATCACCAGCCGTGGGTCATTCAGGGCTCCTTGCACTCCAGCTGTCAGAACAGTTGCTAAAAGCTTCGGATCGGAGATGTCCAAGATCTCTCCATTCTTGATGGCTTGTTCAATGGCTTCTTGCATTCCCACCAGGTTTTCAGGAAAGCAGTAATTATCCAACAGAAGCGTGGCCATATCCAACACCAGTGTGGATTGTAACACACTGCCAGCATAGATGCTGCAACACACCAGGACTATTGACAGCAATAAACACTTTCTCGTCATTTTTATTCAGTTAAGAAAGTGCACTCTGAAATGCAGCATGAGAAAAATCTCAAGGAGTTGCAGACTGAGAGGAGCTTAACTTCCTGCTGACCTCACTGGTCTGTCTGAATCAGTGCTGAGTGCCGAGTGTTAAATCTGAAAACAGAATATCCCTTTTATCTAACACTAACACTTAATCTTACTGTAACTCTTTAATCTCATTAAATGGGAGGGCATCATCCAGAGTACAGATAAAGTGCAGTTTTTTCCTGGTTGCAACAGCCATCTTACAAAACCTTCTTAATAGACCTTAGTAAACCCGATAATGTATAAGGCATTCTCTGTTCCTTACAAGACTACAGGCCACTACTTCCTAATATCATGCCCACTGCAAATTGATAATATTTTTGTTCACACTAAATGCTTGAGATAAATAATTTGGAACTAACTTATTTGTTTTATTATTTAAATTATATCTCACCTTTCTCCTTTTGTAGAATCCAATGCAGTTTATAAATACATAAAAGGGGTACAGTTTCATTAAAGTTATTGTTTTAAGTTTTTTAATGTCAATTCAGTTTAAAAACACACAGTTAAAACAATATTATTACAGTATTAAAATATAGTAAACAGGACAAAAACGGGCTTAAAAAGAGACTAAACCACCCATTAAATGTTTTTGTCACATATATAAGAAGTCAATGGTTTGCTTGGATAAAAAGTTATTTGCTTTATGGTGAAAGAACCATAAAGAGGGGGAAACTGAAGTTTCTATGGGAATGAATTCCATAGGCTGAGAGTTGCCGGGCTCCCTCCTATGTCCTCACAAAGCATGCCTGTAGTAGCAGTAAGGCCGGGGGCACTTCCAGACAGTGGCAAAATGCGTGTTTTAAATCTAAGGCAAAAAATCCTGGGACTGGACAGTAGGTTCACGCACAGACCTGTCAGTCCCAAGAAATGGTCCCTTGCCATCCTCACAGCTTTCCTTTGTAGCAGATCAAAATGGAGGGCAGAGGGGGAACATCTGGGGCAGGTTCATTTGGGGCCATTTTTTTTTTAAAAAAATCACTCATTATGTGCTGGACCTCATATGTGCACGTGCAAATACCTTAATGTAAACACAAGTAGATTTGTATGTGCACATATGAGGTCCAGCACATAATGAGTGATTTTTTAAAAAACTTAAGTCTGACCTCTCTCTTTGTCCAATTGTTAATTCAAGCTCTCTTATCAAGTTTAAAAGAAAAGGTTTGCTTTCCAGTTGTGCTTTCCTTGAGCCACCAGTGTGTCCTTGGCTCCATGTGTTGACAACCCAATCAGCTGATCAGCTGTTTCGGGCTTTTAAAAAGTGCATAAGAACTGGAGCAGTCCCCATAGGGGGAAGGGAAGGGAAGCATGGAAGCAGATACAAAGTCATGCAAAGGTGCACATTTTTTTGGGCAGAATAAGGGTTTAAAGCACCTTTTTAACATTTGTTTTTCAGCTGTTAGTCTTATTTTGCCTCCCCCCCCCCTTTTTAACCGTTTATTTTTGGGTTTTTAGCCATGTGTAGAAGGACTCAGAAAGAAAACGTTTCCCCAAAGATCTGAGAGAAATTTGAGTAGGCTCATTTAGAAAGATACAATCTTTCAAATAATGTGGAACCAAGATGCATAACATACTGTCATAAACAGTACTTTTATTTCTGTTTAGAAAGGCACTGGTAGCTAGAGAAGCTATTTCAACGTGGAGGTTCCCTGTAACTGCCCTGAACAACAGATTAGGTACAGCATTTTGGAATTGCTTTACTTTCTCAACAGTTTCCAAAGCTAAACCACACAAAGTGTGTTACAAAATTCAACTAGGATGTCGTGGAAGCATGTGTTGCCACAACCAAATCTTTTCTAGATTAAGCTTCAATTTATTTATCCTGATCAAGTAAATTTCTGGGAACAGATATTGTTTTAGCACTGTAAAGGATAGATAGAGTTTGCCGTCAACAACATGCTGGTGACACTCCAAAATTCTGGATGACTCCTCCTTGCATCTTCATGTTAAACCAGGGGTCCTCAAACTTTTTAAACAGAGGGCCAGGTCACAGTCCCTCAAACTGTTGGAGGGCTAGATTATAATTTGGGGGAAAATTGAATGAATTCCTATGCACACTGCACATCTCTTATTTGTAGTGCAAAAAACACTTAAAACAATATAATAATTAAAATGAAGAACAATTTTAACAAATATAAACTTAGTATTTCAATGGGAAGTGTGGGCCTGCTTTTGGCTGATGAGATAGGATTGTTGTTGTTGTTATTGTGTACTTTCAAGTCGTTTCAGACTTAGGTTGACCCTGAGCGAGGGCCGGGGAAATGACCTTGGAGGGGAGTATCTAGCCGTTGGGCCTTAGTTTGAGAACTCCTGTGTTAAGCAGACCAATGGATAGAAAAGTAATTTTCCCAGCACCGCCTTCTGATTTTGCCCCTCCAAGGAGGATTGGAACAGTACCTGCAGGTTCATCGCAGACACCACCCCAGAAATTAATTATGGTCAATGGTATTGAAAACTACTTATAACCTGAACATTAGTAAGAACTTTCTTACCATAAGAGCTGTTCAGGAGTGGAACTCACTGTCTCAGAGTTTGGAGATGACTCCTTTTTGGAGGCTTTTAAATAGAGACTAGGTGGCCATCTGTTGGCAGGGTGTGTGTGCTGCTTTGATTGTACTTATCCTGTATAGCAAGGAGTTGGACTGGATGGCCTTTGTGGTTTCTTCCAACTCTATGAGGCTATGATTCTAAGGGGTCATAAAGATCCACTTAAGCTACATTTTTCTGCACAAGGATTCCTAACCTGGGGGCCACAGATTGCGGGGGGGGGGGGGCAGGGTTGCATTAACAAAAGCTAGAAAATATATTTTAGCATAATTTTTGATATTATTCTAAGTTCATATTACATAAATCCATATATTTAAAATAAATTACTATTTTAATTAATATGTATGTGTTTTTTTACAGTTTTATAATATTGTGTTCTATTGATATTGTTATTATCTGAATCTGGCATTGAATTATTGCCATAGTTTGTAAGCTGCCCTGAGTCCCCCTTCGGAGTGAGAAGGGTGGGGTATAAGTACAGTAAATAATAATAATAATAATAATAATAATAATAATAACATCACACAGTCCTAGACACTTGGGAAGTGTTTGACATGTGATTTTTTGATACGAAATCCAGCATATATATCTCATTTGCTGTGACATACTGTGTTTTTGTGTCAGTAAAATAATGATAGGATAATAATAATAATAATAATAATAATAATAATAATAATAATTGTACATATTATTTTTGAATCATCATTTACACTGATTTATTTAATCCTAATTCCTACCTTAACCTTAGTGGTAGGGAGGGGTACTCACCAAGATCTTGGTCTGGGGGTGAGGTTCTGCTTCAGGATGTGGAGGCTATGTTTTTATGACTAAGCTCTCTCTCTCTCTTTCAGAATGACTTTTGTCCTTCCCATGTTTCAGTGACCTTGCAAGTAAATTTGCATTTGGCAGTTTGGATTTTTAAAACTTTTCTTAATAGTAAAACACTTGTACTGTTTACACTGGTGATTCATTAATGTTTGCTTCAGGATGGCACACCTATATCTACTTGCTAGAATTGGGCTAAATCCAAGGTGACTTTAATCTTCATAATTTGCAATCAATTAGGATTTACTTGTAATACCACTATAGAACATATGGTCCCTGCTTCCAGGCAAGAGAAATTAATCTCATAGACTGAAATAGAATGTGTGTGTGTGTGTGTGTGTGTGTGATGCACACAGGCGTAAACACACTTTGTTGTTCCTTGGCTGTCTTCTTTACTTGAGATGTTATTCATGTTGTTAGAACAGTTAGAACAGTTCTGACAGTGCCATCATTCACTGACAGTTATTAAAAACTGAGTTATTTCAACAGAATACAGTTTCAGTGAAGATAAAGAAACAGAGCATAGTGGGCCAGGTATAACATAGGTATCACACAAGGCTCCCAGAGCTGTTTTTAAAATTGATAAACCTCCAGATTACTAGGACTGCCATTTTTCTGGCTGGAAATAAAGAGGGTAATTCTCAGTTAAAAGTATCCAGGATCATCTTTTAAATACGTTGTAAGCCTGCTTTGCCCGCCTTTCTATAGTGATGGCATTGCATGCTCCTGTGAGGTAAGAGGCTATGCTGATGGCGCTATTGCTTCTGGTAGAATCAGACTGACTTTTGCTGAAGGAGCAGACTAAGTGTGTCACATCTCTGCTGGGAAGCAGCATTAGTGAAGGGTGAAACTGGTCGACAATCCCTCAGAGACAACAGCAGCAAAAAAGAAGAAGACGAAGAAGGAGAAGGAGAAGGAAAGGGAGAAGGAGAAGGAGAAGGAGAAGGAGAAGGAGAAGGAGAAGAACTTTATTTTTCTACCCCGCCTCCATCTCCCCGAGGGAACTCGAGGCGGCTTACATGGGGCCAAGCCCAAGGCAACATACAATTAAAAACAGAAATAACATATTAAAATAGCATAAAAACAGTGGACCCATAGTAACACTTGTTACTAATGCACAAAAAAAGAAGGCACAGTCACTCTCCTTTCAAAGATAATTTACCACAAAAATCCTATGATGAGGCCATCTAAAATGAAATAATAGAGCCAGAAGATTAAAATCTGTTCCACCTCAGAGTAGAATCACCTTGCTGAAGAACACCAAACTGCACACAGCCAAAAGTCTTTATGGTTTATTAAAAATAAAAGGTAAAAAGTTCTTAAAAATAAAGGTAATGTTTCAAAAGATCAGGATAACATAGCACTTGAAGCTTAATCCAATAGGCATCAGCAAAGCAAGACCAAAGAGAACATTACAAAGTCCTGGAACCATGAACACCAAGACTGCAAGGTAAATCCAGCCTAGCTCAGGCAAGCTCCTTAGGTAAACACGAAAGTTGCTTTGACAAAGATCTGGACTCAAACCCCCTGTTTAATACCCTTTGCAAAACATGAAGGTGTTTCTTTGGCCTCTGGCCTCCCTCTTGTTAGCTATCCTTTTACTCCTTCAAACACGGAATTCCAACTGGGCGGCCCTATCTAAAGTTCCCATATCACCAAGGTCAGTCTGCTCATTAGCTTCAGCCAAAGAGCTATCCTCCTTCTCGAAGTCAA